CTACCCGTGTTCGAATCCAGATCCAGAGATCCCCTCTCTTTATCTCCCCAATTTCTGACTCTATCCACTGTCCTATCTCTAAAAAAAGTGCATCAAAAAGACCCAAAATCAACCTTCAAAAAATAATAATCTCTGAGCAGTAAGTCAACTGACAGCCCAGTAAAAAAAGTGAAAGTGACTCAGGCAGTTCTCCCTGACGTTAGAGCCTTTTCCTTCATTTGTTTTTGTGACAAAATGTAGATGCCTTAATGAGAGTGTTTGCATTGGAGGGTGTGGGTGTTCTCACAGTGACGGAGAGGGTTGGAGTGGATTTAACAAAGTGACGAGAACTGATGTGCCGACAGCGTTGACTCTTGTGAGTAAAAACAGTGTTACGTGCTTCAGCAGCAGACATGCCTTTATTCAGACGGTTGCTAAATCTCTGTCAGGCTGTGGTAGCAGCAGCAGCAGCAACACGGGGTCAAAGGTTATCAGAGCTGAACACACACACAGAGTTCATATGCAGGTGAAGTGGCTTTATCAGCTACCAGGTTAAACAGTTTCACACAAAGGACACCTCACCTGCACCGTCACTGTGTTGTTCAACTCATACAAAGAAAGATTTAAGAACAAGCAGGGGAACCTTCCTTCAGCCCCCTCACAGCAGGCTGCAGCCCATAAACGCTCACAGAGTTTACAGCCTATTAATTAAGAGACTGTAAACACAAAGCTGTTGTGGGTTTGATGCAGGAGCGGAGGAAATGTGTGTCAAGCTTGTTTCTGAATGCAGACAGTCTCACTGCTTAATGGAGCCTTTTATAGACCCGCTTCACTCAATCTGTGAAAAGTACATGTCAGAAAAGAAAAGAAAAGGAGCAAGGTAAGATATGAATCACTAAATGAGAGTGAGGCTCACGCAGGTAGAGTCTCTGGTTTCAGTGGAAAGATGTGAAGAAGCAGCTTGTGATGAGGATTTTCTCAGGACTGTTTGTGCAGGATAAAGGCTCAGCTAATGCACTCCCAGCGCCTGTCTCTGTTTATTCACTCTGCAGGCAGAGCTGCCAGTCTCAGATAAACTGTACCAGGTGACTGAGAGAGAGGCCACCACAGGTAACAGCCAACACATGAGCACGCTTAACAAACTCAGACACAAAGGGCTCAGACACGCTGACATACAAGAGGTGATAGAGCAGGGATGTCTGAAAGAAACTTTTGGTTCTCTTAAAGAAATCATTTCACATTTCTTTGTTTTAGTACATAACAATAAGAAAAGCAGGATATGACTTGACAAACTTTCCCTGTTCCCTGATTCTGCAAAACCCGGCTTCAACAAACACGTGTCGGGTTTCCAATTAACCTCCAGTTAATTGCTTCACAGCAACTGTTTGCGTAAATCTCTAGTACCAACAGTCATTATCTCATCACAGCGGAGAGTGACAGCCCAGCTGAGATGTGAGCCGCTCCTCTATAACCCTGAGCTGATAGACACCAACACACATGTGACTGACAGCTGTCAGCTTCCATCCATGTACACATAGACCTTTATGAATCTGTAAGAGGAGGGTTGGATAACATCTCATAACAAATGAATGTTTTGCAATCATTTTAACATTAGTGATTTAACCTAAACGTTACTGAGGTATCATTTAAACCCAGAACATTTGAGAGCCATGTTTGGAAATAAAATAATTCTGCTTAAACGCATAACTTGCAGGAAATGATTTAATGACGTTTCCTAACACTAAAGCAATGAGCCAACAGCAGGAAGCCATAAACAAAACATCTCAAGTAAGAACCCGTCCACCAGACTTCTCAGCACACTGATATGATGAAGGTTAAACCCAGCAGCTTTAATGAAAAGATCAGACACTCACGTGAGAACGTAGTTGACACTGACGATGCAGTGAGGTCTCGATGAGCGGCTGTTGTGGACGATGGTTGCATAACTCTGAACCCAGACCCAGCCGCCAGGCTTGGCCAGGAAACGGTAGTACTTGGTGGTGACCTGGCCTTTGACCAGCACTGAGGATAGAGAAGTCACAGAAAGTTATTACTGTGGAGGGAAACGCTTAATAAAAGGCTTCATGTACTCATGTTTATCACATCTTGTTGTTGTTGTTGTTTGGACACACTTCTTAATACACAAGTCTCATTTTCTAAGAACGCTAACACAAATCAAAAACACTGCTATAAAGTGAAATCTCTGGAATGAATGCCAATCTGCCCATGAGTCACAGTCTCAGGGCAATTAATCATCTTAGTGTCACTGTTAAACCTTTAATTCATTCAGCTGGCCGAGAGTCAATAAACAGAATGACAAAGTGAAGACGCTTCACATTTTCAACCAAAAGAGAGAGAGCATAACCTTAATTGTAAAATTATGTTGACAACTTTTCACGTATTTGTGCAGTTTTAGACAGTGTGCAGGAGTTTGACTGCATGTTTTGGTCATTAAAAACAAGAAACTGCAGAGTACTTGGTGCATAGGATTTCTGTTTTTGTTGCTGTGGTATCAAACATGTTTCAATGTTTAGTTTTTACTAGAATCACTTCTAAGTTTTACATTCTGGTATCATCACAACACCATTATATCATAGCACAACACACTTGAATACCAAGATAACATCAGGGCATGAAAACATTTTAACATAACACAATGTAAGAGTATCCAGAAGAGAAGAAAATGTAAAGCCTGAGAGGCGTACCACGAAGCAGGATCAGAGGGTAAACCGGGTCTGTTGAGCCTAAAGTCAGAGTTTTACATGTGATAATAATATTTATGTACTCATAATATCTTCTTGTTATATCAGCCTGACTAAAGCTTACAGCTGGTGATCCTCCCTTTTTGTGAAGAAGTGTCATATGATGCGCTGAATGTCCCGTTTTATTTGACTGAGCACACAAACCTGCTTCATGATACCTCATATCTCTGACTGCAACTTCAGGCTTTGTCGAGCCAGTTTACTTTAAGAAAGCCTGAGTATGTTGAACTCGCTTCATGGTTTACCCTTCTGATATGTGTGTGTGTGTGTGTGTGTGTGTGTGTGTGTGTGTGTGTGTGTAACGAGAACTTGTAAGAAGGGAAAACAAACCTTACTCACACAAGTGATGAGCACAGCGCAGGTGGAAGGAGTCACAGCTGTGGACGTGATGATACAGAGTCTTCTCGATCAGATCCTGAGGTTCATATCCTGTCAGCTCTGCAACCCTGAAACACACACACACACACACACACAAGCACACTGTGAGTTACAGCCTTCCCACATTTGAACACATTAAACCCATGCAGAAGCCAGTCTGTAGGAGATATATCTCCCAGCTGGTAGCAGGTGAACTCTGGGGCACACAGGACGCACCGTGAGTCGAGGAAGATGAGCTTCATGTCCAGGCTGGCTCTGAACATGAACATGTTGCTGTGCAGTTTGATTTCTGTGACAGCGCTCGGCGGCAGAGAGTGACCGACGGCCACCAGCCCGACGTTCTGATAGCAGCCGTCGAACGGAGACATGTCCAGGCTGTACTGACGGATCTTCAGGTAGCCGCTGCAGTGGATCACCTGGGACACACAGGGCACATTATAAGGTTTCTCTTTTTACTTTTTATTTTATTTGATAATTTATGGGACTTAACATTGATCATAACGTTGCACATTGAATAAAGAGAGTTGAGCAGCTCAGCGTCGTACCTTGTATCCTCCACAGGTGAGACCAGCGTTTCTTTTAGCGAGGACACATTTCATCCTCAGAAAGAAGGAGCGCTCCATCTCATACTCTGCAGAGGGTTCAAAGACACGTTATTAAATCTGCTCAGGGAGTTATTTACAGCACAACATGTGTGTGTGTGTTGTTGATTACCGTGGACAAAGTGTGAGTGGTAAGGCTGGTGCGCTGTGAGGACGGCCGTCATTTCATCGTGGTCTGCCGGGTGGATGTATTCATAGATGCTGTTTCCCGTCAGCTCGACCTGTTAAAACAAACATCTGCTCAGCACAGCGACTCATCAGGCAACAGCATAGACAGTCACATGCAGAGTGTTTGCACCCACCTGTGACAGGCCCAGGTGGACCGATGCCGTCTCTGATATGTACATTATTTTACCGTCTGGAGCCACCACAAAAATGAAGCCGTCTAACGTCTGGAAGGAGACAGAAAAAAGACGTTATGTTGAAAGAAATTAAGTCATTTGTTCTTAAATAAAAGCAGTGTTATCATTTTGAGTTTATATTTTTTTGTTAATAATGAAGTGTAATATTTTCACATATCACATCAGATATGATAAATCATTCCTTCCTGCTGCAGTCAAACTCTTTAACCTACTCCCTTTAGAACAAAACAAGCACAGAAACTAGAAATAGTTCACTCCAAACACAGCGTGTGAACTTTCAACTTGAAAACGATGAGTAAAAATCAAATGATATCTTTACCTAATTCAATACTACAGCAACAAAACCAAAAGTCCTCCTGAGTACCCAATTCTGGGTAACCTATTGTTTTAAATTATAAAATATACAGAACAAACTCCTGCACACTCCACTACTGAAACACTGACAACATATTTGTCCAGTTTAGATTGTGCTCTCTCTTTTGATTAAATATGAGTGAAGATCTGTCATTTGTAAAGCTTCTTTTTATGGAATAGTTTACTTTAAAAAAATGTAATTATACAATAGTCATAAGAAAACATAAAGGTTAGAAAGCTTTAAGAAAAAAGAAAGTGAATTCATAATGATTTATGTTTACATTTATACACATGTTTTTAAAGCATCTTTACTCTTCAATGTTATCCATCAAAACATGAAGAAGACTGTATCATTTTCAAACATCAACCATATCATAAACTCCTCTAATATTGATGTGCAATTATATGAATCACAATGCTGGTATGAAAAAGACTAATTTACAAAAAGAGTCATATTACTATACAGAACACAAAAGCTGCCAGCCTGCAGCTCTGATTTCCCAGCCTGCAGCCCAGTCTCTCCATCATGAAGCCCTGTTATTCAAGCCTGCAGCCTTGCTCTATTGTGCTGCAGCTGATGTGAGAGGGGCTGCAGGAGAGACTGAGGCTCTGTGCGTGACCAGGAATGTGTTCAGCTCATTTCACTCTTAAAGCAACAAGAATGGAGGCAGTAGGAGGCAGATGGCAGCAGCCACTAAACCAGACACACACACACACATACGAATACACGCACACATATACACACACATACACATGGTCAAACTGTGGCTGAATAATAATAACAGAATTTGCTTTAAATTGTTTAATATCTTTATTCTAACATGTTAAATAAACTATTTAAGTGACCTTGGGGCAAATCAATCGTTTATATAATTAGTCTTAAAGTGTGAGTACTCCTAATAAACACAGTTTAAAGTACCTGTAAGAGGTGTGAGCCAAGCTCCTGAGTGACTCCATCCAGAGAGCTGCGGCTCACGTGACCCCAGGACTCCCCCAGACCTGGGAACAAATCACCCACACACAGAAACACAAGATTATATATATTAAGAAAAATACATACATTTTTAAAATCTCTTATTGTATATTGGCTTCAGTTCCACCTGTATAATATAAGATACATAATGTATTACACATTATAACCAGAGATGTGTTTAAATAATAAACGTCAAACAAATAAAGATAACAGTCATATCTATTACTCCACAAAGAGTTGAAGCAAAGACTAACAGAGTCTAGACAGTTTTATGGGGTTATCCTTAAATACACATTTACTGAAAAGGCCTGAGAGTGAGAGTGTGTAGACATGTAAGGGCCTCATGTGATCAGGAAAGAGACATATTAAAATAGCATGAAGATGAATACTAGTCTCCACTGTGTGCACAGCTTTTTCTGCATGAGAAAGTCGGTAAATTGCAGCCTGCTGGTTTAGAGTTTTGACAGCACAGGCTCCACTCTGCAGCCTCCAGCTCTAAAAATACACGAAACCTAAAATTAGACCAGGATCAGGACTTTACAGGATCGTTGGTAAAAAAAAAAAGTTGTAGCGTGAAGATATTTCCCCTGCAGCAGTGAAAACTAACATTTCAGCTGCTGCGAGGAGTCGACTCAGAGCAAACAGGATTCTCTGCAACATTGACATGCAAATCCTGCTCTGCAGAGCAAACATGCAGGCGGCATGCGGGGATCAGAGCGCCCCGCAGCCCGCACGCTTCTGATGGAGCCAATATAGACTCCACGTCTGCATAGAAAGACACAATCAAAATATCCCCGAATATGCCCACAACTGAATGGAAATAATCACCGGCTAAACAATAAACACATAGAGAGAAAGAGGCTTTAAATACGTTCTGCAACTCACGAGCTGCACGCAGAAATCTCCTCTGCTCATACACACCAATGAACACAGAGTAAATACATTTCATTTATAAATGTTAATACGTTGTATCATCTCAGCGACTTCTGGTCAGGCTTCAATATTTACTCACTTTAGGCCTTTAATAACCTTATAATAATATTATTATGTTTGCGGGAAGAGGAAAATAAACTATTAAGACAATTATACAGACAATGTGTAATAATTAATCAATCGAGCGGCGTCTTTAAATAACAAAAAATATATATATATATATTAAATAAAATAACATAAATATTAAAAAATGAAATCAATTCTCCGTGGATCATTTTCATTTCAAACGGGAGATTTAAATACGTTTTGTTCGTGTGATCATTAGTGATCTGGTATTTTGTATTTTATTGTAGCCTAATTTAATTTTCTATAGATTTTTCTGTAGATTTAGAGGCACAAGTGAGGACGGGAATTATCCTACATGTTAGTGGTTAATTATCTAATTCAGTTTATTATAACATCGTCACGTTAAATTATTTAATTAGGTGGTTACACGAATAAAACAATACATTTAAAACAGAACTATAGCAGGGAGGGTAACAATTCTTTCAAAACCCAGAAGTGTTTCCTCAGTGTTTATTAAAAGCTGTTAGGCTGACTGTTGACTTTATAATTAACAACTTGTGCAATAAGAAGAGTTTCAGTCAGGCTTCATCGTGAAGAGTTCAGACAGTCAATCAAAGTTCCTGAAGTAAAAACAGCACTTCTAAAAACATTCAGACTGAATAATTATTTCCACAGAGTATGTTCATTCATTTATTATTTCATTATCTTTCATGAGATTATATTCAAGGAGTGGAGTTTATTACACGGCTACTGTTTTAGGAAATCAATCAAATGTACACTTTTCAAGGAAAATAATACATATCAGACAATGTCATTCATTTAAAAATGATTTATATCGTCTTTTGTTCTTTGTGTTCTACAGTTTGAACTGTATCCATGGCAACGATTAAGGGTTGCCTATAGCAACGGTTAATTCTAGCCCTCATTAGGCTAAATGAGCTAAACTAGATTTCATTACTCACATTGAAGTGAACATTTCCTCTGATAGTGAACTGACACAAAGTGAACATTTCCTCTGATAGTGAACTGACACAAAGTGAACCAGCTCATCTGAGTGACTTCTGCAGCGTCACTGTCTCAGTCTGTTGACATTTTAGTTTTTCATTCACCATCTTTAAACGCCTCCATATACCATCTCATACACGACCATCTTTCTTTATGTGTTTAGTTTTCTTCATGTAGCCTACCATGTCATAGTCATAGTCGGCTCTTTTAAACCTTTCTTTTCTCCGTCGTTTTTCCTCTCCTTTCTCCTTTCTCCTCTCTCCTCTCTCCTCTCTCCTTAAACAGATATTATAGGCCTTTAAAATCAACCGGACTTCTTTTCGCGGATCGATATGATTACAGTTAGTCCCTGACATCCGGGTGCTCAGTGCTTTCCTTAGCAACGGATTGTTCGTTTTAACAACGGAGATCTATTTAAAAAAGAAAAGGAGACAAAAACAATATGAAACGATAAAAGTGTATTTCTGTGATTACAATAATACACTATTTAATAATAATAATAATTCTTTAATTGTACATTTCCCCATTGTGGGATAAATAAAGGATTATCTTATCTTATCTTTATGGTGTTTTAAAACGTCAAATATTACCTCATAATAGCGAGAATAACAACACATATTTGTGAATAATTTATAAGAATTGATCCATTTGAAAAAAAAACCTCTCATAGATCTAATATTAATAAAGTGAATAACAATAAAATAGCAGGAATTTTCGGGACTTTATAAATGACTAAAACGTTGCTGTGTTTCGTCACATTTTAGAACACAATAAACCAACTATAGACCTAAAACAACTAGGTAGGCTATTAGGCTACAACAAAGCTCCCATAATAATAACATCAATAATAATATAGCCTATAGCCTACAAGTTAAATAACAGAGGAGAAATCAAATAAAAGTCATTGTTCATTCATAGTGTTCATTAAATGTTATCCTTTCTTATTATTGTTGAACTTAAAGTGTTAAAAAATCAGCCAATCAGAGGCGTGAAAAGAAAAAAACATCTCCTTGTAGAATTATTATTATTGTTTTAATAAACAACAATAATATTATTACATTAGACCATTTAAGTCCATTCAACACAAACACACTAATTCATTCTTTAAAAAACAAGACAAGAAGTCGACAAGAGGAGGAAGCCGAGTGAAAATCCACTAAGTGGAGTCTGAGTTGTGATTTTTATTGTCCAACAACATCACACATTGTTATCTTGATCCTCATTACGCTGAATGAAGTGTGTTTACACTCTGCCGTGGCCTATAACAAGATTTCATCTCCGAAAAATGAGCAATGAACAAGACGACGACTTCATCGAATTCAGGAAATAATCCAATCAGAGAGTTTAGGACGCTGTGTAGGTTTAAATCTCGTTCGGGGGCCGGGGTGTTGAGAATTCAGCGAGATATTTGTGGTGTGGGGTGTCGTGTAATTTAAGACAACATGGCTGAGGTCAGAGGTCATCCTACTGACCACTCTGAGGGCCATAAATAAAGCCCCCCCCCCCAGCAGCTCACAAAGTCAGAGACAAAAAGAACAAATCCTCCTGAAATTAAGATCACTTTAGGTTTATTTTCCTCCCACTTATTCAAAGCTTCTTCACTGACTCGATCGTCGTGTGTGTGTGTGTGTGTGTGTGTGTGTGTGTGTGTGTGTGTGTGTGTGTGTGTGTGTGTGTGTGTGTGAGAGAGAGAGAGAGAGAGAGAGAGAGAGGAGGCCTGCTCTTTAAAGCAGCAGAGGTGATTTTATGGAGATAAAAACACAGTCTGCAGAGGACAGAGGAGTAAAAGCCTGCAGCTGTGATTGTCTCCTGAATTATTCACTAACGTACATTTTGTTAGAGCGCGCAGAGCGAGAGCTGAGCTGTGCAGAAAGAACATGTTTCAGGTCTTACTCATCCAAGTAGTGCATCTCACAGACAGAATATCAGAGCACAGCTTGATGCATTTTCAGGAGGGAAATCTAAAAACCTAAAGAAGCATCGGATAAAACTTCAGGATACAGCTGCCCCCACATTCTGAAATCTTTACAAAGACTCCTTCTTCTAAAGGGAATAGTTCAGGGTCATGATGCAGTTTGAAGAATCCTGTGGTTGAATAAGACGAGGCAGGGAGATAAATCATATAGAGGAATATCTCAGGGAATAGTGGAAGCACTGAAATGTGTCATCTTCACAGATTAGCTTCTTTCAAATATCGTTTAAATGACAACAAATGAAATTGTTGCAGGTCTGTTTCCCTTTTTTTTCAACTTGTATAATTGATACGAGTCGAGGAGAAAGGTTTAAAAAATGTTGAAATGAAAGTCCTTGTTTGATTTGGATTGTTTGTTTTCTAAGGATCTATATTTTTAAAAGGTAACGTAGAGTAAATATAGACCACATAAAGATCATTTATAACACATCGTTCAGTGATTATAGAGAATCATAAAACTGTCTGTTTGGATTTTTTCACGAGGTGCTTCAATAGAAAACAGAAGAAGAGTAAGATGTTCTGATGTCTGCATTTTTCTTTCTGCATACTTGAATTCGAGTTGTTGATTTTTGTCTCCATTATTTTTGACCATGTAAATATTAAGACATGCAGTCGATGAAACATTGATCTAATAAGAAGATAATTCACACTTCCTGAATGTCTCTGCCTCTGAGTTTGAACAGCATTTATATTTTCATGTTTCTGACCTCTGAGATTTTAAACTGGATTCTTTTTGACAGCTTTTCTCAGGTGGACACTGATAGAAGATAACACAGAGCTCTAAAAGAAATCAGAATCATATCTGATACTTTAGCTGTTTGTAAACTCGGTTTGGACAATTTCATTTTATAAAATAATGAATCAATAAAACAAGATGTTGAAAGCACAGATTAAGATGCATTATTAACCCTTTCTTTGTGTAACTTCCTGTAATGCAGCTTTCATCGTGCAGCCTGAGCCTCCATGTTCTTCCTGCTTTACTGTTACAAGAAGCTCCATATGTTGGGGGATCAGACGTGAACATCATACTAATATCCGCAGCTCTGCAGCAGTCACGTAGCGTGGATGGAGCCTCATCTCAGATAATCTGCTGGCAGGGGCCACCAGGGGCCCCCGGAGAGAAACCACATACACTGCAGGCTGAGACTCAACAGGCACAACGCGGACTGACGGAAAAACCCGTCCCGAGTTTGATTCTGACTGAATCTGATTTTATCAGATCAGAAAAAAACATTCTGATAAGACAGATTCATAGAGACTTATATTTTATAAATAAAAGAGACACGAAACGATCCAAATGAACAAATTCAGATTTCGTGACTGAAGCCTAAAACCGTTTAAGAAAAAACATGACGTAACGCTTTCATTTATACAAAATATAAATAAAAGAAAAACCACTGAGGTGACTTTTATTTATATTTAATAAAATAATGTATAACACATTTTTCCTTCATGATTCAGATTAATAATTTGGCTTAAATGTTGTTTCCACTTTCTTTGACATTAAATTACAAAACTCTCAAGTTAAAAAAAATAGCTTCTTTTAAAAATGATCACAGTGAATGTTTAAATTGAGTTATTTTATTTCGTGGGAGAACAGAAAATAATGTCAGAAAATGAACTATTGGAAGGAAAACAACATTTTAAAAATTTGGGAAAATGCGGAATATTTTTTAATCAATAAAATAAAATAAAATAAAATAAAATAAAATAAAATAGTCACTTTTCCTGGTCGCCAATTCAAAGGAAACAGAATCCAAACTACAACAAGGTAATGTGAAACAACCAGAGCCTTTCTCTGATGGGCTTTAATATTAGAGGCTTTAATATATCCGATTCTCTCCTCGATCTAGCTGATGTTATTGAGGCTAAGTGAAAGTCTTGTGTGTGTGTTGTTTGCATGATGTGATTCACAGTTTGCACAGCAGCTCTCACCTTCAGGGAACACGATCCTCATCTTCAGGTAGCTGGTGGTCAGCCGGATGATGGACGCTTTGTCCAGCTGGGAGGTGATGGCGGAGGGCAGCGGCAGCAGTTTGGCCAGTTCATAAAACTCACTGTTTTCTTTTTCCCGTCGAGTCCGGGCCGCGTTTTTAGATTTCTCCTTCATCTTTGTGTCAGTATTTTTTATTTTTTTTATCCTCTCTCTGTCAGTTCCGTCGGTTTTGCCGTCACTCTCTGCCCGGTTGTCTCATCCTACCGGGAGCTCCCTCACGGTTAAATCTCCTCCTCTGCTCGGTCGGCCTAAAATCCACAGCTGCAGATGCGTGAGCACACTCCCATATCTCCAGATGTTCCTGTTGGATATCGACGAGCAGGATGCGTAATTCCTGGATTTCTGCAGGACTATTTTTTTTAATTATTTTTTGCGTTTTGGTCAGCCTGTTGGAGGGCTCACCGCACACTTGGATCCATCATACCTGAAGTAAAAGGTAAGGAGGGACACATGCAGACATTAGGCTGACTAAAATAACCAGACAGATCTTTAATTTGGGTTAATCCATCTCTTAAAAAGAAAACGGATCGAACAGCCAGAAAAAGCGCAATCAGGACACTTGTTTGAGTCTTTACACAAGAATGAATTATTTATATGAACAACTATCCTACCTAGTTATTCACTCACCTCATCGTAGACAACTCTCCTCTGAACTGACGCCTGTTGAGTTTAATTATCTCCGGACTGATTCTCCAGAAAGCCCGGCTCCCACATTTCTTCAGTCTGACTGATTTTGTTCATAGTAGCAGCTTCGCAGCCTCCTGTGTGATCCAGGCTGGGAAAGACCCGCCCACTTATGGCATCTCCACTCCGATTGGACGATTGGATACCGCGCGTGGGTTAGCATTGGCTCCTCTGAACAATGACGCATTGTAAGATGAACGGGGATTGGCTGGTGGAAGTGTTCACCTCTGGAGCTCGTTCGCTTTAGTGTAGAAACGGTGAAACATGCGGAACCCCTTTAAATATATGTAAGTTTTAATGTTTTATTGTCTATTAACAAATAAATAAATAAAATAAAGATTCATTTAAGATAATTTAATAATCTGTTGGACATTATCTTCCATTCGGCATACATAACAATCCCATTTGCTGTAACGATATATCACCTTAAGGGCTTTTTAACATATTAAAATACGAAATGTACTTAAAAATACAAATTAAAACTTTTCTTTTTAAATAATAAGTACAAACAGCAGACTGGAACATTTCTCCTAAAGAAGTTCAGGCACATTTGTCGATATTTGTTTGCTTTTAAAGTCGTCAGTTTTGAAATGGAGTTTGGTGTTAAACACTTACATTATGTTTAAATCGTTTCCCAGATGAGACAAGAGGCTTCTCAATGATTTACACTAAACAGAAGAATAAGATTCTGAAAACACTCCAACATGTTGATGTTTCAGTTGAAGACATCCCTGCATGGCCTTCTTCACGACACATCCACGAGGTCTGGGCTACAACATCAGAAGAGATTATTAAGAACTTGTAGGAAATAAAACTTCACTTTTTTTATTTTTATTTGTGAAGAAGTGATTCATGTTATCCAGATTACAGAGAGAGAGAATATGACGACACTTATTATCCTTTTATCTACTCAGAAAACGTTTTTAAATGTTCTTGCTGATTATTTTCTCACATTAACACTTTAGCTAAAATACATAAATCTATATGCATGTTATGCCATCAACTTCAGGACTAAATATTACTAATGTATTAATCATCCATCACTTAACATGGAAGAAAAGAGTTCTTTGATTTGTTTTCAATATTTCCTTTAACGTTGGCGTTTTGGATACGTCACACTTTCTCTTCTATAATAACTTTATTGAATAAATATTATAAAAACTATGAATAATTAGAAACGCATTTTGACTCCCAGTTCTCTAATTCACTAAAAATAATTTGGTGAATGATGCTGTTGAACAGTTTTCATTCTGATTGAAAGCAAACATAAATCCTAATATAGACTTCTTTTCTCCAAGACATGAAGCACTAGTGATGATGAAGATGAAGATGAAGATGAAGATGCATGTCTCTCTCCCTCTCGTGCGGCCGGTCGGTAGGCCTATGTTGGGATCCATCATCCGGGATACTTTAGAGACGCTGTCTAAACTGTCTGGTAATGAGAGTCACAAAAAGAAAACAGAAAGCAACGATCGAGAATCTGTCGCTGTTTTATCTTTATTATTAAACCTATTGAAGCAGATTTTAAAAAACAAAGTTTAAAACACCTGTTTAATGTTTCAGAGATGAGCAGTCTGCAGGAGGCCTGGATGAGATTCTCTTATTCACGTCAAATTAGGATACTATAGATGTTTATTTTTTAAATGTATTTCTGGATTTTGTCTCCTGATCTCAAACGTTGTCACTTTAAATTGAACTTTCCACAAACTGCACAACACATCTGAATGTCCTGAAGGCCTATAGTGTGTGTTGTTGTTGTTTGGCAGTGAATGGGTGTATAGTTTATTTAATAATTACAAGTTAATTGTTGTATTTGTATTTTTCTTCTATTCTTATTTTATCTGCACTCTTCTTCTTCTCGTCTTTTTGAGTTTACTCTTAATGGGGATCAATAATTAATGATCTCATCTTGATTTTCTATCTTAAATAATCTCACATAAATTCTGATTATTGTTATAATTTATCGCCTCATAGTGGATTCATCTCTAACCTAATTTAATCCATCAACATATTTAAGATCGACTTCCTCCCTACCCTCTGACCTCCATCAGTCAGAAGAGTTCAGGGACTTTTAATCTTCGATCTCAGAACATTTTTTTCTCTCTGTCTGTTCCAAAAGTCAGAGAAGGCGTTTCAGTGTGCTGCTCCCAAAGAGCTGAGACTTAACGAGCTGCTCTGATTGGATGATTTGAAGAGGATGTTAAACATATAGCTTTATAGATTTATGGTCGTGGTTGATCTTGACAAATATATTTGCTGATTCAATGTTTTATTTTGTGTCTTAAAATGTTTAATAATTATATATCCTGTTTTATATTTGTACGTCCGGCTGCTTGTTGTTTGTCAGAAACTCTGTTATTATTTGTGCTTCTGCATTTTGACTCCTGAAAACACATTTTTAATCTCAACCACTTTTTTTTTTATCTTAGTGAAGTAAAGTTAAATAAATACAATGAATTAACCCAGGTAATGTGTGTGTGTGTGTGTGTGTGTGTGTGTGTGTGTGTGTGTGTGTGTGTGTGTGTGTGTGTGTGTGTGTGTGTTGGGGGCGGGGCTATAGAGATGGGATTATGTCACCTCCACTCTTTCAGTCACTGAACTTCACCTCTGCGTCTTGTTTGTGGTGTTTGGAGACTTTTTTTTAAACTTGTCAAAATAAAATAAGAAAAAACATTTCTGTAAAAACTCACCATAGATTCTTCTATTATTATAAAAAAAAGACCAAAAAATAAAGTTTCCAGCTGGATTAAACTAAACCAACAGTTAAAAGCCTCCGGTTGGATCATTACTGTTCCTGCAGTGATTCATATGTTTCTGCCGGTGACGAGTTATTCAACCTGAACTGATGCGAAGAAGAGCGCCTCGTTAACTTTAATAATCAAGTCAGAAGAGTTATCCCATGGTCGGGAAAAATGTTACTCTGCATTAAGTAAAGAAAACAAACAAGGAGAAGACTGGAACTACTACCAGGTGAAGAACCGTCCGTCGCTTTATTAAAACCTGGAGGGGTAGAGGTGAGGCGTCATCCTCAAGGAAGAAATGTGGTCGTAAAATAATGATGGGCTAAATCAAAAGCGTTAAAAAAAGAGTAACAGTAGAACTTAAAAGCTGTGTCGCTGTAAGAAAACGACTTTTCGAGACATAAAGGAGTTAAACAAAGCTCCCCGCAGGTTTAAACATCTCAACACACTTTGAAATATTTTCCTGTGAAGGCAAAAAAAGATCTTGAAGAAGGAATCGTGAGCATTAGATAGTTGTCTGTGGTATCCATTTCTCCTCTCATGATTTCTTACTGTACATAGAAGACAGTGTTCAGGTGTGTGTGTGTGTGTGTGTGTGTGTGTGTGTGCTCTTTATGGGTGTGGAGGGAGGCTTGGGAGGGTGTTAGGTTTTAGCTTCGGGAATGTTGTTTTGATGTAATTTGGTTTGACCAGCTCTTCATCATATTTTTATTGATTCTTTGTGTTTTGTATTGTTTGTGTGGATTTATCTGCTAAACCTGGAGCAGTGAATCTCCTCTCATTTATTAGATGAATGAACGTTAGATAAGACGAGCAGCTCCTGTGTTCTGTAAAGCAACTTTTCCGGTTTTGTCAGTGAGTCTGGCTGCTCTGAAGAGAACAGTATCATGACTGTGACAGAGAGGTTCATCTTTATAGAATCATTTATTTATTTCAGACCGACAGGAAGTGAAGAATTCTCCTTCAAATCACTGTAAACATGTAAACGAGAGAAGGAAAAGATGTTCCGTTTGTTGTCTTCCTCAGAAGCTTTAATAAACTTCAGGACATAATAACTGAATCTGATACAAAGCTGTGAATGAAAAACATAAAAACAAACACGTCTGAAGTTTGGCTGCTGATGATCGTTCTTCTTTTGCTCAGCTGAGGGTCAGGCCGCTCACTGAGTCACCTCTGTGTTGACCTGAGCAGCGATGCTGGCAGGTGTGACGTTCAGGTGGATGTCGTACTGCTGGTCCAGCCCCAGGTAGCTGTCACTCATCAGGTACAGCGTGTAGATACACCTGAAAACAGAACACAAGTCAGAGTGTCCTCAAGAAGACAAAAAAATAAATAAATAGAAGAAAAAGAATCTGGGTGAAATCCTGACTGAAGGACTTTACTGCACGGTGCGGTTTATACTCTGCAGCGTGAGCTGGAGGTGAGCTGTTAAATGCAACAACCGGTTGGTGACGCTTCCCTGTCTGTCTCGCTCTCATTGGCTCTTAAAGGTATTCTGTCGGAGGCCACCAGATCTGCAACCTTTAATATCAAACATGTTTAGTATTCCATTTCGGGGAGGCTCTGACTAAATCAGGAGCAGTAAAAAGAATCCTACTGACACCACACAGCTGAAGATTATTCAGACAAATGATTGGTTGTAACAAGCCTCGAATTCTTCCACCGCAGGAAATAGTCCCAACACAACACTTTCCTGCTGTTTGTGTAATGTTTACCAAAAACTACAGCGACCTGCTGCAGGAAACGACTGAGGAAAAAAAAAGATTGTTGGCTGTTTTAAGAGTTTTCCTTTCCAGTACAGACGGACGGGTTCAGAATGGACATACAAGTATGAACAGACCGACTAAAGCATGTTTCACACATGCACTCCTGAAGGTTTCAGGACTGTCTGAGTTACTCTTTCACTGACGTCCTTCACATCAGGAGATCGGACGTCTTCACAGTATAAACTCAGAGAAGACCATGAAGTTGTAGCTTGATATCACGGTTAGGGATAATTCTGTTTCTCTCATTCATTTATGACTGAAAGTAGTGCATGACCTGTGTCGTACCTGTGACAGTTCGTGCTGCATGCTGTGTATTAAATATTAAATAAAAAAGAGAGGAGAACAAAAGAATCCCTACCAGTTGATGAAGTATGCAGTCACTACTTTGAGATACTGTTCAGTAACACAGGAGCTCCATCAGCACATCACTAGTGCTCAATCACTGACTGTGCAGACCAGTGAGAGGAAGAGTCCACAGACTGGTTTATGTGTGCACATGGTGGAGACGAGGACTGAGCACTTTTAATACACATCTGAAGGCGGGGTCTTCTATGACTGCATACTGACATATAGCCTTAAACAACAAGTAGCCTAGTGGTTACGTTGCATGCATCATGTACAGAAGCTGTAGTCCTCGTGGCAGCGGCTGTGGGTTCGAACCAAACCTCGGCCCTTTGCTGCTTGTCATCCCCCACTGCATTCTTCATAATAAAGTTGGTTGGCCCTCCCTCACTGAGAGACACAATAACCACTGGCATCTTTTTATCTATCTGAACCCTGCTCCAGAGAGAGCGAGAGCGAGAGAGAGAGAGAGAGAGAGAGAGAGAGAGAGAGAGAGAGAGAGGAGAGAGAGAGGAGAGAGAGGCTGCTTCTCCAGGTTCCAGGACTGATCTGGGGAAAACTGCTTTTAGTGTTAGTGCTGCAAACTCCTGGAACATTTGACAACAGCACCTGAACTTGAGCACTTTAATCTCTTATGGACACTTTAGAAATATTATTTTTAACCGCCCAATACCTGACTGTAACGGTTTTATTTGATCTGAATTACTGACTTATCACTGTAGTCATTTCAAGCTTTTAAATTATTTTAGTGTTTATATTTTATTGATTTTATTTTCTGTAGTAGCTTTATCTCATTTCTCGTTGTTTATCATTTATGTATGTTTTCTCGGCGTCATTGTAAATTATCTCTCCGAGAAGTTAAATAAAGCTTGATGATGATGATGATGATGATGACTCACTCCTCTCAATGTTTCCTGTGTCTCTTCAGACATGCGATTAAAAATGCAATTAATCGTGATTAACTATTGAAACTTTGCGATTAATCACAAGTAAAATGTTTCATCGTTTGACAGCCGTAGTGAAAATAAAGCTGAAAGAACCAACAGATGAACTCCCATCCTGTGTGTATAAATATCCCCTCTTACATCTCCATAATGATCAATGAGTTCATCAGTATGGATGATGTAGCCTCATCTTTAACTCTTCAATAATTGTGAAATGTAGTTTTGGGAGTTTATGGTCTTCCTCTAATCGAAAGTGTCTGACTAATGATTGAGACCTGGAGCCGACTTCTTTCCTCTCACTCTCTCTTTTAAGAGTCCGTGTTCATGCACAGCTGCTGCTTACCTTCCCGTCTTCTCCGGCGTGTAAAAGGCGACCGACACGGTTGTGCGGTTGCGTACATAGCCGATCCGCTTGACGGCGAGCAGCTCCCTGCGATCCACCTCCCCCACCACCAGGAACCAGCCTTCATCCTTGGACTTGGGGAACCGGGGAGCCTGGGCCTTACTGTCCTGCTTCCTCTGAAATAGCAGACGAGGACATTTTTTTTTCTCACACATATGCACTCGTAAAATTCCACAGGAGGTGAGACATGACGTAAATAAAACGCTGCTAAACGGACAAACTCACAAAAGAGAACGTTCTGAAGTTTGGAGCATGAAGCGGCTTCAGATCGGTCAGATGTTACACGCTAACAATCTGCAGCTACATCGGTTTGTTTAAGTTACAGTTCAAAGCAGTTCCTTAACTTTCCTAAATCACCAGAGGAGCCCTTTAAGTGTCGACAACATCTGAGGATCAGTATATCTTTCTCCCACACATCTGCAGCCGTCATGCAAAGAAACCAAAGAACAATGTTTCAGGAGATAACAAACTGCAGACTCAGCTGGAGGACGATCAGCTTCCACTTCAATCACTGAAAGATTTGTTTACAGAGGAACAATACCGAAATCTTTACTTCCTCATAAAAACATTTGTTATTTCTTTATTTGAATCATATCCACAGTCTCTATAACAGGAGGTTTTGCTGTTGTGCATTCTCACCCTCTGCTGGCCCTGGTTGATGCGTCTCAGAGACACCTGCAGGACGTACTCCTGGTCAGCGTGGACGTCCAGCCAGCTGCTCTCCTCCCTCAGGTTGGCTCTGGCTGCGGGGAGGCGGCGCTCCGTCTGCTCCTGGCTCTCCTCCCACCAGCCCTTCACACTCATGTCCACCTCCAGCACCGGGAGACTGCTGAGGAAGGACCAGGCCTGAGGAGAGAGGGGTTGAAAGCAGTTGATCAGGTTAACATGATTAAAAACCTGGATCACAACACCAAGAGGACAACAAGGAGAGGTGTCCCAACAATGAGAGGTGTCCCAACAATGAGAGGTGTCCCAACAATGAGAGGTGTCCCAACAATGAGAGGTGTCCCAACAATGAGAGGTGTCCCAACAATGAGAGGTGTCCCAACCTGAGCGGGAAGTCACAGCGACATGGCAGCTGTGGGAGTGTATGGTTATATGATAATATTAGACCTGCAGGGAGTTCTGCTGCTCCCCATGTGTTTACATGAACACAGTTAGTCATCAGGTGATGAGTGGCATGTCAGGATAGAAGCTCCTGTTATTAGACTTTCTCTCCCCCGCTCTACTACCTTGATGTAAACAAGCACAGTGAACAGCTAGCTTCTCGTAGAAGCAGCATGGTTTGATGTAAAAAGTTGTGATAATATTGTATGTAGGCTGTGTCAGTTTAAACAGGGATAACTACCAGAGCGATGCATTACCACATTTAGCTCAGGTATGTGGGCGTTGACCTGCAGGGAGGGCCAAAGGCTGGTGGTGCTAGCATTGATAATGTTAGCCACACTCAGCTAACCACTTTGACATCATTTCTCCTGATATAAGGATGTGATTTTTTCCATTTGAGAGTTTTCCTAATTTGAGTGTAGCCCATTAGTTTGAATTGAAATTTGTGTTAAATTAAATTTGACATTAGCCACCAAGAAACATCCGGTATTAAAATGTGAACACAGATTGGGGTGTTTGTGTCGAGGAATGAATGAGGTGCCCTGAGGTGAAAAATGTTGATGTTTTGAATAAATTCAGAGTGGTAAAAAGACTGTTCTTTGAGATGACGTGAAATTGGTGCTCAGAAAGTGAAAAAAGGAATGAAGAGGTTTAAGTGGAGGTTCCATCAGCTCGTGTACAGTAAGTCTTAGGAGCCTCTTAAGTGTTTTTATGACGATTTAACATTTGGTTCAATGCAAAAGCCCCACCATGAAGAAGACACGAGGAGAGAGAGGACAGAAAAAAGGACTGGGGAATAAGTGTGTGTGTGTGTGTGTGTGTGTGTGTGAATGACAGCCAGGAGGAGAAAAGCCTCTCTGATTCACCCGGCAAAAGCTATTTATGTGAGGATTACTCTCCCTGAGCGAGTCAGACAGAAACGCTGCTGCACATCTAATTATTTAATTAGAGAGGCCTCCACACTGCGGGGGGGCGGGGACAGCGAGGGAGTAAAGATGGGGATGGAGGAGAGCGGGAACACTGATTGGATGAAGCCACAGGGCCTGCCGCGGTGCCCGGACACTCTCATTACTGCAGCAATTAGCACTTAAATAGGAGCTGTAAACCCCATCAATGGAGGTATAATTGGGGATCCTGGAGGTATCTGGGAGCACAGTGTTAGACTGCTCGTGTCACCTCACTGATGAGAGAAGGACCATTATGGGGGGGGGGGGGGGGGTTAAAATACCAATTAAGACGCTGCTCTCTTGATTTCTTTCTTTCTTACCTTTTATCAAAATATGATTTAAGATCTGTAGTTTCTCTTTGATTCAATGGCTCATCAACAACCACAGAGGTATTTCAAAACACATCAAAAATATGAAACTTTTTGACAACTGTAGCAGGAACTCTCATAAGTGCATAACAAACTGAATCAACAGACACTCTTCCCCAGAGAGCTCTTACCTGTGCGATTTGATTTGACTGCAGCTCTTGGCCGATGATAGAAGTGAAAACACTTTCTTTTCCCCTGCAGGCAGCAATCAGCTCAGGGAGTCCTTCGATTGGCCCGCTGAAGCCTCCCCCGTCGCTCCTCCCCTTCCTGTTTGCCCATTTCCTGCAGGGTGACAGAGAGAGAGAGAGAGGGAGAGAGAAAGACAGAGAGAGAGAGAGAGAGAGAGAGAGAGAGATCGTGGTCATTACAACAAATCCTACCCAACATTTTTATTGAGTTTGCACAAAATGATTCAACACTGTGACAAGCAGGTCTGGATGCTCCTGGTTGGTTGTGAACACTAAATCGTGTGTGACTGCTAGTGTGTTTGCACATTTATTTACTGTCCAGTTTAGGAGTATAGAATAAGTTACCATGGTGATCTAGCCAGGTAAAGAGAACTGACTTCTGGCTTAACAGACGCAGTTTCCCTCTAATCCCATATGGTGCCCCCCCCCCCAGGTGTAGCTGTGGTGGTGTGTATACCTGAACAGATGGAGATCTTGTTGTTCAATGTGTGGCAGAGTCAGAAGTGAGGAGTCGTGCAGCCAGCGGCCCTGAATGATCATCTGCACCAGGTTAATGATGCTGATGGCCGTCACCAGCCAGCCTTCATTAGCAGCTACATCCAGTAAGGCCTGAGGAGAAGAAACACAACAGAGGCTTTAAAGGTGACATATCCTCCTCCTCTTCTTCAGTTTAAATAAGTCTCAGAGCTCCTCAAAACATGTGTGTTTTGAGGAGCAAGTTTCTTGTTCTAAATCCACTCTGATCCTGTATCTGATCATGTCTATAAACCCCTCTTTTCAGCCCTGCTCAGAACAGGCTGTTTCTGTGTCTGTACCTTTAAATATGTAAATGAGCTGTGTCTGACCACACCCCCTCTCTGGAAGGACTTGGGTGTACTCTGTCTTTCTCGCTCCATGTCCTATTGTTTACGGTGAGAAGGCAGACTCAGAGGGCAGAACAAACACCTAGCTGTGGGAGTGTCACCCACCTGGGGGAGGGGCTACTGCCCTTTGTGATGTCATGAAGGGAAAATCTCCAAACGGCCTGTTTGAGCACACATTTTCTGAAAAGTGGAGCAGGCAGAAGACGGAGAGGATGGACTTTTCTCATGATTGGGGGGTTTGTAGACAGACTAGAGACACATGTTAGAGTTAGAGGAACATGGTGACGTGTACTGTGCAGAATGTGTGACCTTTAAAGTCAAGATGTACTCATTATTAACTTGTTGGTTTTGAATCATCTTAGCGTGAGTCTTCCAGCTGGGTTTCAACTGAGAGAGGATTTCAAATCAGACTTACTCAAGGCTCAGGGAGTTTTTTAGGACGAGGTGCAAGAATTTGCGTTATACCGTTACTTATAGGGAGTTGAGCTGAGTGTTGATCCCAGAAGAGCAGAACATGTGCTGAAAGTGAATCCTGGAAACTTTTGTTGTCGTTTATTTGAAAAACAAATATTTGCAGAGGAGTGGAAAGAAGACTCTCTTAGTGGATGTTGAATTTCTAAAGTTTGGAGTTGAATTGAGAAAACCATTACAATGGTTTAAAGAAGTGTTAAGGAACTGTTTATTAAAATGTTTTCTGTTAACAGTCTGTCAGACTTTAAGTACACTAAAGTAAAAAAACAACATTCATTCAATAAAAAGCTCCATAAAGAGAGTAACGAGCAGAACCTTTTCACTAAACGGTAGCAGCAGGACACCAGAGAAGTAACCACATCCAAGAGCCGTGCGATATCACTGCCAGACACACAGCATGGAAACACACACACACACACACACACACACACACACACACACACACACTTAGACATGGTGATAACTTACAAAGAAGAACAGAACGTACAAAGAAACTGATAAAAAATAAAACATCCAGCCAATCAGAGCTCAGAGAGCAGAGTGACACGCAGTGATCGATACACTTCTCTAGGTTTTATCTCGTATTCAGACTCGATCACCTGTCGAGTCCGTTCTCTCATGCAGCTGTCTGTATGAACACTGAGCTGCAGAGTCTCTGCAGCAGCCGGGGGTGTGACATCTAACCTGAGCATCACGTTATTTATGAGACGGATCAGTTCAACTACAAATCACACCCTAATGTGTAACATTCCCCCGTGTTCTCTGCTTCACCTGCAGCAGAGCACCGCTTTCCAAGATCTGCTCGCTCTCTACGTTATTCAAATATCATCACAACAAAATATAAAAAAACCACAACTAAGAAGTGAAACTAAATGAAATGTAAGAATCGTTAATAAGCATCTAACAAGTGTAACCTACTAACTAACCCGTTTATTATACAGGAAGTAAAGATTCACAGCAGCTAAATTCTTAATATTAAACTTCTGTTATGAAAGACATGAGGCCCCGTTTCCACCCGGCAGTTCTTTTCTGAGTGCCAGAGTCTTTTATCAATTATTTTCAATGATTAGAAAGTGTTTGCAGCAGCATGCGGCTGCCCAGACAAAAAGTGCAGCGCCCAGAGTCTTTTTCCAAGTGCACCGCCTTTTTTGTGCAGTCGCTCCGAGTTGAGTCTGGTGACTCCTGAGTGCACAAATCGCTGTTAGTTTGTTTATGATGGTACATTTGTAGGGATGAAACAATACACTCAATTTACGATACCAAATATTTCATGATTCTGGGTTTATCACCATTTTTCATGATTTTAAAATTTTTAGACTTGAGATTAAAGGTCACATATTCTAAGAATAACTCTCCCCCATGTTCCTCTAACTCTAATATGTGTCTCTAGTCTGTCTACAAACCCCCCAATGATGAGTAAAGTCCATCCTCTCCGTCTTTCCCCTGCTCCACTTTTCAGAAAATGTGTTCTCAAACAGGCCGTTTGGAGATTTTCCCTTCATGACATCACAAAGGGCAGTAGCCCCTCCCCCAGGTGGGTGACACTCCCACAGAGCCAGGATGGCTATGGCCTTCAGTCCATCTATGTATCCCTGATGAATGTTATTATAATTTTATAAAGTTGGTAGGGCGGTAAACGGTATTTACTTGCAGCTAAAAAAGTATGTTAGGGGCAAAGTTTGTCTTTTTTTTAGGCTCAAAACTCAGCTACCTGAATCCATTTTTTTAACTGGAACACGAGAAACAAAAGAGAAAACAAAACGTGTGCAATCTCGAATTTGAAATGCACACAACAGCTTTCTTTCACATGCTGAAAAGTGAAAATACTGGAGGTAACTGGGCCGTACTTCAAGATAAATCAACATACTTTATAATCCATCAGCTACAATTAGAGAGCAGCTAATGTTAGAAATCATCCACTTCCTGTCTAATATTAGCTGAGCCTGTCGTCGAGAGTGTCCCCTGCTAAAAGGGTGAACCAGGACGTCCTGTATCAGTTCAGAAGAAATACACATGGATCCTCATGGTTTGACCCAAGTGATTCATACTGGACCAGTGGAAAAAGTTTATTGTGTTAACCAAATACCAGTATAACCTTTAATACCAACACAAAGCTATGAGTCATAGCTTCAGGTACATCAGATCACATCAGCAGCTTGAATCGTACCTGACAGATTCGGATGGCGTTGTCCAGCACCGTCTTGGTATCGGTGTTGTAGTCGCTGCATGGAAGTGAGGCATGGCTGAAATGGGCCTGGAGCAGCAGGTGGGTCTTGGTGTGGGCGCTGTCGAAAGAGTGGGGGTTGACCTGAAGGGGGAGCTGCTGAGCCAGCTGGCTGTTCAGCTGGTCCTCGTTGTGTCTGACGGGCAGCTCGGCATACTCCTCAGCATCCTGGAGGACAGAGATCAAACGTGAAACAGGAAGTCTAGAGCATGCTGCGGGGAGACCTTTTTTAATCCGAGCATCTGAACTCCAACAGCTGCATGTACCCCTCCACATGCTGGTTTTTTTATGCTTGGATACCAGCTGTTCCCCTTCCCCAAAAAGATTGTTGGGCAACCTTTTCTCCTGACCATAAATCCTGTACTTAAAACACACTTTTAATGCCTATTTTTCCCATTTTGTTCATGTTGGCTGTGTTTTATACAGACTAATACACCAGTATAAAATGCTCAAACATGCTGTTGTCACCCACTGCATGCAACATGACGCAACCTTTACTGCAAGCAGCCTCTTCGCTGCATGCCGGGATACTTAGCGTCCTGGACCAGACTGCTGCTGCAATCTTTCAGCTTCTCTCCCTCAATAGTTCATCATCATGCATTTAAAGAAAATGGTGTTACATTATATAGTTGATAAACCTTGAGAAGTGCTGGCTCGATTAGAAAGACAATTAAAGACAACAAGTGACCAGCAGAGGCAGGTAGTATGACTCTAGACAAAATGGTCACAGCCTGAGGGTAGCCAACTATTAATGACTCTAAACCAACCGTCACTGTGAATATAAATATATATATATATATATATAATCTAATTTAAATGATCAATACACACACACTTATTTATGTAAATACTGTAATTGATATCTTAATTGACCCATCTGTCACATATCTGCATTTTACTCATCATGTTACTTCAGCATCTGTTGCACTATTCACCACTGCACTGTTTCATATTTAGTCATGTAAATATTAGTCTTTTCTTATTATGTTCATTGTTGATATTTAATGTTGTACCTGTACATAAGAGAGCACAGTTCACCCAAGTTAAATTCCTTGTGTGTGTAAGCATATCTGGACAATAAATCTGATTCTGATTCTGCGTACTGTAGCTAGCAGGATTGGAAACCCCACACAATGAAAACAGATGGTGCATTAAGAGTTACACAGCTGGCACAGAAACTTCACGATGTGGACTTTGCTTAACAAAATGGAAACCGTCACACAGGAAGAAGCCTTAAACCTTCTCTGGGAGACCCCCCAAACAGTCTGACTTGTATTCTGGGTTCTACAGTACTTTAAAAAACCTGCTCACATATTAAAAATCTCACCCAGATTGGTCTCCATATTTTTCTGAAGCACATGTTTGTAAATGCAGAGAAACATGAAATGACCGAGGGTTGAGGTAAAGAGGGATTGTAAAATGATGATGTTGTCCATCACTCTCCCGTTCAGGCTAGTTTGTGGTTGTTCTACAGAGAGAGATGCGTGGACACGCACCGATCCTCTCCTCTAATTCACTCCAGTTTAACTCGGGCTAACGCAGTCCCATCAACAGGCGCTGCTGCAGGCATTTGTCACTGCCTCCCCCCCCCCGGCCCTGACTGTTAGGGCTCCATCCATCATGACCAAAGCCAGTGTTTTAAAAGGTAAGACCTGAAAAAGGACCAGAGTGGGGGTGGGGGCTGGGAGGGAAGAAAGGATCAGGGATCATCTCTGAATGATTTACCTTTCAGTGGCGTTGTGTTTGCATATGGATGTGATGGTGAGAATACTATAGATCTTTAAGAAGGCTTCATATAGAACGACACGCTGACAGAGACAGAGGAGGGAGGACATAATGGGAGAGAGGCTGGAGCTCACAATAAGAATGAAATAAAGAAATAAAGAGTTGAGGTGAGACACATAAAAGGAGGGAGTCCACACAGCTGTGATGTAGTGTGGTGGTCTACAGTCTGTGCAGAGGCCTTTTCAAGAGTTTCTGTTCAAAGTAGTTCAACTATTTCAACTATGTTCAGTGAATCTTTTAAAAACCTAGGCTAACATTTTTTTTGTTTATTTTTGGGTCTAAATGACAAACAGGTAGAGAAAGTTTTGGAGTATGCAGCAGTGAAACAGGCTGTGATGGCTGCTACATAATCATTGATGGATCAAAGTCGTTGTTTTTGTCACTGACGGGTTCAGATTGTTATTTTAAGAGTCTGACAACATCACAGAAAAGATTCCTACGGGGATAGAGCTTTTTGTTACAGAGGTACAGAAGAACAGAAGAAGTTTTTTAAAACCAGATACAGCTGTGACATCAGACACCATTGACTAAAACAGTTCTTCTCACATTGCAGAACTGGGAATTGTTTGTCCTCTTCAACCTCGGTCATTTTTTCTTGTGTTAACAAACTAATCATTTGTAAAAGAGAGAGGGGCGTGTCAGCACTGGAACCCCAGGTGCAACCCCAAAATCCTAAACCATGATTGGCCATTTGTCTCATCAGAGGTGGGACTTCTGTTAAATCAACTATTCTTGATGTTTTGCAACAGGCTGCGAGACATTTCTTTATCTGTTGATGTAGAATATTTTCTTTTGTTAGTACTTGTAATTAATCAACACTTTTTTTTTTTTTGCAGGTGCATAAAAACTGTGCGCACAGTTTTGCATTGGGAATCCTTCTGCACAGTTCACATATCCATTCACTCAGTGAGGTACGGGCGTTGGCAATTATTTCAACGCAGCTTATCAGCTCTCTCTCTCTCTCTCTCTCTCTCTCTCTCTCTCTCTCTCTCTCTCTCTCTCTCTCTCTCTCTCTCTCTCTGGCGCTTTGGGCTATATGACCAGAATCCCTAAAAGAAACAAGACACCGTCCCTCTGCAAGAGCGCCAAAGAGGGGTTGGATCAAATCTGATGCCGTTCAATTTATGCATTCCAAAATCTAAGCGATGAAGTTGTTATTTCAATTTGTATTTAAGTGTTAATAATATAATATTTAGTATGAGGGAGATGAAAGCATGGACAAACAGGCTGAAAAACAATTTATGGTATGTGCAATATGAAAAGTGTGCAATACTGATAATAAAGCTATCTACCTCCTTTTTTTTCCCGTTTTATGACTTCAACGAGGCAGTTTTTACCTCAGGAAGGACAAATACAGCAGAAAGAAAGCAGAAACAGAGAATGCAGGCTGAGTAGAATAAGTGTGTAGGGGTGGTGGTGGTGTGGTGTGGTGTGTGTGTGTGGGTGTGTGTGTGTGTGGGGGGGGGTGGGGAGTGGAGGTGATGCTGCAGAGAGGTGTGGCTGTTGCTCATTAGTGGCCACGCTGCAGCAATTAGGGGGAACAGGAGAAGCATGTCAGAGCTTTGTAGCTAACAGAGGGGGAGTGGACGGGGCGGCAGGGTGAGCGGCCTATTGTAGCGGCTTGTTGAGGAAGGGGGGGGCAGCCTGGCACGCCATGCTTTGGTCTGCTTCCAACTACACGTGTGCAGAGGAGAGTGATGTTAGATGGCCTCCCCTCCATATGCTGGCATCCTTACTGAAGCCAGATTCACACATCAACTCAAAATAAATACCAGAGTTAAATCTGATGAAGATGTAACTGCACACATTTCATCTCTAACTTTGTGATGTGAAATAAAAACGTATCCATGTTGGGTTTCTGTCCATGAAAAGAGATCTAAACGAACCATTCCAGGTCTTCCACGTTACCTGTGGTCAAATTAACACTTTGTTAGTCAGAGGACACCTGATGAGGACGAGATCTGAGGTTTAAAAATAAGAAATTTATCCTTAAGCACATGATTCTACAATTCACTTAGCAGACTCTTTTATCCAAAGCGACGTACATCAGAGAGTAAGAACAACACAAGCAAGGATCTAGAAAAAAGGGAACAATGTCAGTAAGAGCAAACGATCAGCTTTGAGTCTGATTGGACACACAGGTGCTGACAGGAAGTGACCAGAGGCAAAGCACAACATTGAGGGCAGTTCTTGAGAGCTCTAATCAGTATAGAAACCATCTTATAAGTCGTCGTTATCAAACAAAAACCATCGTCATTACCATCATCATCATCAATAATATGGAGACCATCATCATTAAGTTAGTAGGTATTCATGAAAGAGCTGGGTCTTTAGCTTTTTCTTAAAGGTGCAGAGGATATGTGAAATATAGCAAATTCAAATTACTGTACTTTATCCACAGAAACAAACCATTGCCAAATTTGACACAGAAGTTATTTTAAAGATTTATTTCCTTACCTTGTACCAGTTCCTTTAATTGCCACACTGATGTTTCGAGTCGACGCTCTTCTACAGAGTGTAACGGGCAATTTTAAAATGTACCTGTTACACGCTGAAGAAGAGCGTCTGATCAAAACGACTGTGTGGACATTAAAAGAACACTTTGGAGTGCTGCTGTCCTGATCATATTGGACATTTATTCAGATTCAGGCCCCTGTTGTTAACGCTGTTAGGGAGTCCAGCGTGTTTTTGAGTACTTATCTTTCCTTACATGCCTACCAAAGTTAATAGCGACGGCTCCTTTGAATAAGAGAGAACCTGTAGATCATGTTTTTGAAGTATTCATAAAAAATAATATCAACTTTTTGACTTGTTGGTTTCAGAAAATGTAATTTAAGAGGTTTGATTTTTCCTCCCAGTTCAGCGTTTGATGTGTTATAAATTTAGAAACAACAATAAAAAAAAAGCCCATTAGAAACATTGGTCAAAAGAAAGTGTGTCATCCCCCCCTCCCCTCAATCAGAGGTGATAATGTGTTGCCCCCACCAATCAGAAGCTGAGGGTGTGGATGACCTTGATGCTGGGATGCAGGAGGTCACTCGGTGACGGATCATACTGAAGACAGAACGAGGAGAGTTAACGAGGCTCAGAGAAAGGTGCTAATTTAGGGGGAGGGGCTTGATAGTGTTAACATGTGTGTGAGAGTCAGTGTGTGTGTGTGTTTATGCATGAACATCCTCTGATGTTATCTCAGTGGTCCGTACTGTAGATAGCAGGAGTGCACCCTCACATGGTGAGAACAGACGGTACTAAAGAGCCACACAGCTGCACAGAAAGTGCACGTTGTGGATGTTACTGAACACAACAGAAAACATCCCACAGGTAAAGGAGAGAAAGCAAACATAAACCAAGAAATCAAGAAACCACCAATCAGAACTAATGCAGAACTTCACTGAGTAACAACTCAGGGTGTTAGTCTGTGGAACAACTGTGAAGACGAGCTGAAAAAATAAAACACTATATTTAAACTAAAAAAAAAAAATTCAGGAAAAAAATATTGAATAGATATGAGCTGGAGCAGTGACTTCCTGTTTTTCTGTTTTTCTATTCGGTTATTTCTTGGCTGGTGGTCTTGGTTAATCTCTTCCCATTATTTTTGTTGTTGTTTTGTCTAAAAACTTAATTTGTTTTGGCCAACAAGTCCAACATCACACACTGAATGATGAAAACATTTAGATTTTTCTGTGAATAATGCACAAAAATAAGAAGGGGTAGGACCAGGAAAGTTTTTAACTTCTTCCTATCTCTTTTGAACATGAACTTTATTATTTGAGTTATTTATTTGTTGCTATGGATCCTGAGGATCCATTTAGTTTTTATGTTTTGTTTTTTTCCTTTTAATTTTGTGTTTGTATTTTCTTAACATGTTCAATAAATTGACTAATAATAATAATAATAATAATAATAATAATAATAATAATAATAATAATAATAATAATGATAGGTAGACAGTTTGAACCTTAGTCTCTCTCTGGGACATCCCCCAAAACAGACTGTGTCCTATCTACTGATGCCACTTCAGATTGTAGAATATGAAGCCTTTAAAGGAGCAAAATCGTTTAATTATGAGGACAACACCCTCTGCAGATCAACAGTTCCTAGTTGCTGATATAAATCATTTAAGTCAGAAGCATTGGTCAAACAGAATCCCTGAAGCTTAACGTTGTGGATGCATTTACAATGATCTCTTTAAAAATAGTGGAGGCCCTGTAGGAGCTGATTCAGTAACTGGTGACAGAACAGGAAGTCCCTGTCTGTCCACACTGTGACACTGACCGTCAGAATGGAGAGCAGCTCCTGGATGGGCAGCTCGGCCCTCAGTCGCTCTTTGAAGGTGCGGATGGACTGATGCTTCAGGTAGTAATACGACGAGATACGACCGTACGTCAGCGGCTCGATGGTGCGATCATCCTGAAGCATGAACACAAAGAAAAGACGTTAAGAGAAACAAAAACTTGATCATCATTGGATCATTTCACACTCTATATTTCACACGTACCTCTTTGATCTCGATGCAGTAGGAGCACTCCAGGTCGCGCAGGCTTCTCTCCACCAGGGTGGAAGGATTTGTTTATGGACTCGTGGCTGATGTCTTCTAGGCTGTAATAACTGACCGACACAGAACATTGAGCATGATTACAATAACTCAGAATAAAGTCCTTACTGTGAAAACCCCCCGAGCACAGTTTGTGTATTTGATGTGTTAAACGCAGAAAATGTGTTTTTCTTACACGCTTCATGGTGCCTTTAATCTCCCTCTGTCCTGCAGAACTTTTCTATAAGGAGGCTCGGGAAGATTTAAATACAGGCTGACACATTTAAGATGTTCTGAGTGATGATCCGGGGAGTTTAAGTAGACACACATGCTGAGGGTCGACTTCTACAGCTTCAATCATACCTCCACACTCACTGTGTTAACATGCACACTGCAGAGTTTCCTGGTGCTGTAAAGGTTACGGACCAATCGTACAAACTTTGTGTGTATGAAGCAGTTTACGAAACACATGAGAGAGGGAGCTATACGTGTATTTCAACTGTGTTCAAATATTCAGACGTTTGATCTGCTCTATGACCGAGGATGGACGTGTCGACATTTATTAGCTGATCATAAAAAAGCAGAAACGTCTTATGTGCATGGAGAGGCATTTTGACAGACTCATGCAAACAACTTAAAGGAGACATATGATAAATCCACTTCTACAGTCTGAACATATATCTGGTAACCTGAGTGTCTACTGACCCACAACATGTGAAATAAACCATCCAGTCCTTTGTTTGTGGTCTGCATAAGTCTTACAACACAGAGAAAAATGCTTCGTTTATAATGTCTCTCCTTGTGATGTCACAGTGGGATTCTGGTAAAAACAAAATCCCCTCCCCTCCCCTGGTATCTCCACCCATGGACTCCACCCCCAGACTAGAGCAAAACTTTAACGCAAGTCAGCCATTTTTATTCTCTCTACAGAGGAGTGATGTCTACGGGGAAAACTCAGGGGGGGCGGGGTCATTACATTTAAAGAGACACACACACCAAAACGGAGCGTTCTGAGAGAGCTGGTTTATACAGGGTCACAAACCTCCTCTGGTGCTTGATTCATGTTATATTTTGACCAAAGCTCAGCACAGATGTTTCATTTAGAAGGTGGAGGAGGGGACTGTTTGAAAAGGTGGAGGAGGGGACTGTTTGAAAAGGTGGAGGAGGGGAACTGTTTGAAAAGGTGGAGGAGGGGACTGTTTGAAAAGGTGGAGGAGGGGGACTGTTTGAAAAGGTGGAGAAGGGGACTGTTTGAAAAGGTGGAGGAGGAGGACTGTTTGAAAAGGTGGAGGGGGGAGGATAATATGTCCTCTTTAATGGTAAATGGACTGGAGCTTGTATATAAAATCACCACAGATAACACGGCAGATTAAGATGGCTGTGTGTACTTGTTGTTTGTTAAAGCCCGGTGCACTGCGTTGTCTTGCCAGAAAATGATTCCCAGGTTGGACTGTTATTTCCTGCAGTAAGACAACCTGTGGCCACAATGGCTTCCATGCCCAGCCCTGCTGAGTAAGAGTTACCACATGAGCTCGGCGAGGTGCAATCAAAGACAATCTTCATTAGCTCATAATGCCAATATTTGTGCAAGGTGTGTGTAAGGCACATAAAAGAGTCAAAGAGAGCAGGAGGAGTGTTTTCATTCAAGGCTGTAGGAACAGATGCTGAGAAGCCTAAAGGGATGTTTGTTCAGAAACATGTTCAACTCTTTAAAAATGGTTTATTTGGGCTTTTCTCTTTGGAGCCATGTGGATGTCATATGGCTATATTTTATACCTTTAAGGAAATACTACTTTATGACTTTAAAACTGGATCCCGTCCTTCTATTTATTTCAGAAAGTTAAATCAGCTTTTACAAACTTATAACTGTCTTTACATGGAGTCCATAAATACTCATCGGCCAATGTAAGTTCTTTGCAACATTTGGATACCAAAGTCTGAATCGATCCAGAAAGTTTCACCTCCTGCTTATAGAAATGTGTTTAAGATTATTTTTAAGATCTAAAATTAATATATGCCCAGGCCAGACGGGATGTACCCCGGGGACTCCTCCCAGTTGGGTGTGCCCAGAAAAGCCTCCAAAGGGAGATGTTCAGGAGGATCCTAATCAGTGGTTTGAACCACTTCAACCCGCGGTAGCTAACGGGTTATTAAATGGCCGACAGGGTACTTGGTGCCCAGCCTATACATTCTCAGGTGAGCATGGTTGAAGGAACATACCATAAAACAAATGAATCAAAACTCTGTGGCACACTGAAAATAACTTGACTGTATGTTAAGTGTCTGCCTACAATGAAGTAAAGTTATTTTCAGTGTGCGACAGAGCTTTGATTTACTTTTCAGGGTTATTATAAAGCTTTTAAGCTCATAATATGGACCCGATGTGTCTCTTGTTAATGTCATCGTCTGAGTGGTTTCTTGGAAACGACAGCAGTTACTCAGAGTTGAAACTTCTACACGGCCTGTATCTACTAAAGCCGTTGTTTTGCGTTGGCAGTGCTCATGACCTAAGAGTCTTTTTTATCAGCACTTATTGTTGCTAGGTTACAAAAGTGAAGTTCTAATGGTTGTTTGATGTGTATTAGACAACGCTGTGTGCTCAATTTTTGCTTTCTATTCGCAAACATCAACAAGAAAACATGAAATCAATGAAAGGAATAATGTCCTCGCATTAGCAGCGGCTCTAGACCTGGAAACTGTTCCCTTAAAAAGATGAGTTAGGGGGCGCCGGTCAGTGAGTGGTGACCTGTGGCTCCTGTCCCTGATATCTGAATCTATCCACTGCCCTGTCTCTACAATAAAGGCAGAAAAGGCCTAAAAAATAAATCTGAAAAAATACAGCCTCTTCTCGATTCTGATTGGTCGGTGAGAGAGAAGTGACATTGACGAGTTATAGCTGACCCTGAGGGTGTTTTGACGCTCTGTGTTGTGAGCGTCGACTCTGCTGAACTGCGCTGGTTCTGTGTTGAAATTGCAAGAAGCTGAAATTGGACAGAGGTCCTTATACCCGGGGAATAACAGTAAGACACAAAAACAACATTTGGGCTTCTCGCCCTGAGTGTGACGTCAACATGGCCGCCGAGGGAACGTCTGCTGGTCAATATCACAGGAAGTCACCAGTTTATTTTCAACTCACACATGATCTGAATGTTTCTAGGCGCGCTGAGGGAGCAGTTTATGGTCAAGAATCTGTGCGCTTCATTTGATTTAATGTTTATTTTCCTGCTTTGACATGTTTGTTTTTATTGTTCTAACTCTTAACAACAAACAAAGACAACAACCGGACCCCAGTGGAGCATAAAGTCGTGTGGGTAAAATCAAAAAGGGAGAGACAGCAGCGCTGAAAAACAAACGTCTCGGTTAACAGGTGGAGGAGGAATATCAGATGAGGGGGATTTTGCATATGTCTGCATAATGCATACAGACCTCTGACAAATCTCCCACTCCTCATACTAAACAAATGATATCTTCATGGTCATTACACTGAATCATTTATTGTGCAGTCGGGAGCAGGGGGGAGGGGGAGGGGTCGGAGCATCACTCGTGGGCTGGAAGCAGCCGTTGAGATGTCTGATGGTGGTGTTTAATGTGCGATTAATGTTAAGTATTTCTTTCATTCCCATCGCTCCACATGTTAACAGCACTGAACGACTTTATTACCCATCACATCTCACAGGTCTGCACCGGGAACACGGCCATTAGCGTCATCACCATTAGGCTCCTGATGGTACAGGGAGACGGCCTGCAGACGCTAACGACACCCCAGGGACACCCGCCTGTGTTTGTGTGTGTGTGTGTGTGTGTGTGTGTGTGTGTGTGTGTGTGTGTGTGTGTGTGTGTGTGTGTGTGTGTGTGTGTGTGTGTGTGTGTGTGTGTGTGTGTGTGTGTGTGTGTGTGTGTGTGTGTGTGTGTGTGTGTGTGTGAATGCCGTGGTGATAGATAAACTGTTCATATAGAAAAAACAGCCAACACATTGTCAGGGCATCTGTGTGTCCAGAGGTAAAATTTAAGACTTTAAATATGACGTGAACCTGTAAATAAGAGTTCTGACATATCAATAAAGAGCGTTAAATAAACAAAATATGTTCCTTATACTGGTAACACTTTCTGTTCTGATTTAATGAAATGCATGAGAGTCTAAGATTTTAGCATAAACTGAGATTGTAAACGTTAAATTATACAGATTATGACGGCCCCTGAACAACCCTTTGTGGATGTTTTTCAGCTTTACAATAACCCTGACGACACCAAGAAGACAGGAGAGAGAGCACACATAATCTGAGGCAGGAAAGGTTTCTGATCACCAAGTCAGAGCTGGAGGAGGAAGTATGTAGAAAAGAGAGAAACTGGTCCACTTTTCAAAACCAGCAACAAGAACTCAACGGATGGATTAATGGATGGGAACTAAGCTAAATGTTGAGTTTTTTAGGAGCTTTATAAACAGATATCTTCATATGAATGGTGGCGCCAGATAGTTTAGCGGATATCTCGCACGCCCCATGTACTGTACAGAAGCTGTACTGTGGTCCCAATCACAGCGGGCGGTGGGTTTGAATCTGACCTCAGCCCTTAGCTGCTCGTCATCATTTGCCTCTACTGTATCTCTTCAGCTGTCCCCCAAAATTATAACATGAATGCAGAACATGCAGGCTAGGGGGGAAATTGAATCCCATCTATTTGAGATAATGAATACTGTGATTATGCAGAGACAATTAAAACTCATAAAATCATACATTTAGTGCAGAAAATGCACGATTACCCCGTTTAAGATAAATAAATAAGCTTTAACATCACTAAGTAAAATTTGACTTTGGGGCTTTTTAAGCATTTATCTGAGAGACAGGACAGTGGATAGAGTCAGAAATGGAGAGAGAGAGTAATTGAGAGAGAGAGAGAGAGAGAGAGAGAGAGAGAGAGAGAGAGAGAGAGAGAGAGAGAGAGAGAGAGTAGGGAACGACACCCGGTAAAAGAGCCACAGGTTGGATTTGAACCTGGGCCGCCCACCTGCAGCCTCTGCACATGGGGCGTGCGCACCACAACTTTTAAAACCTGTTTTCTTTATGTAAAAAAGGGGGGTGCATCACCTATGTGGAAGCATAGATATGATTGCCTTATACCTATTTTTTAACTTGTATGTGTGTTGTTGTATGTCTTTAAAAAAAAACAATAATAATAATATGTACCAATATAACCAAAAACAGTAAATAATGCAGAGATATACTCCTTCATGACTGCAGCTTCCAACATCACCCACTGTACACAACCTGACAGGGAACCTGCTGGGACTGACAGTGAAGGAGACGAGGCTGCTGGTAACTCTTTTTAAACTGTTTTTCTCCGTCATGTGGTCATAATCCAGCGTTAAACAGTGGTAAACTGATAAGTGAATAAACCCTGAGCTGATTTGATCGTGGTTTATCACCAGTAAACTCCTGAACCTTTGATATTATTAAAACTGATGACAGATTGAATCAGAAGAGATGGATGTCCAGTTTCACAGACCTGTACTGGTCCACTGTTTCTGCTCGGCCTCAGAAATGACCTGCACGCTGAATGCGGGCTGACAGCCGTGTAAATACCAACAGGCTGGAATGTTCTGGAACTGTTTCTGTCCACACAGCAGATGTTTGACGGAGGCACACGGCCCTCCTCTAACCAGGCTGTGTGAGTAGAACAAGAATGTGTGCATGTGTCTCTTCTTTGGTTTTGATGTGCGTGAACTGTCGGGTCATGAAATGTGCTAGGAGCTGTTTTTTTTGTTTTTTTTGTCTAACCTGGGGTTCATCATCAGCCGCCTGAAGAAGTAGGTCCAGGTGATGTAGTCCATGGCGTCCTGTTTGGAGGCGATGGTTCCAGCAGCGATCTCAGCGTTCAGATGGTCAGAGAGCACGCTGAGGAGGCTGAGGATTCAAAAATCATCAGATCAGAAACAAACAAACTCTGACAGACCGTCCTTTAGAAACCACTTCTTGTGGATCTGAAGCTGCATTTATAACCACGATAGTTTCAGTTTTTTGTGCAGAGAACCTCTAAAGGACCATGTACGTATATAACCTGGTTAATGATTACTGTCCATCATAGAAGTAATTATAAAAACACTGTGATAACTTCTTGTATCTATGGAAGACAATAACGACCAGGCATAATAAAAGTATGAGGAGGAAGATTTCTGTACTGTCACTTTAAAATGCAATAAAAAAGTTCCTCCTCTGACATGCTTTCCCCCAAAAACATGCACTGGAATCAAAACATTCCACTTGATTCCTCACAGTTTTAATAAACGCTGATGAAACTTTGTTTCCTTTCTGTTGCACTGATGTCTGTTCTGTTTGCTGCTAATCTTTTTTTTGTAATATCATTTTTATCCACCTCTGCTACGGCTTATTTTGATGGAAAAGTTCTTTAGCTGCTGGCTTTATCCTCTAGCTGAAGATGAACTTGCTTTTGACTACGAGTACACGTGTTCATGATGGCTGCCTCCCATCCTCTGCGTCTGTTTGGTACGTCAGTCCTTAAAAACTAGCGCAACAACGATGCTAGATGCATTAGGGTATGTGTCTGAGTCGATACAGCAGCAGAGACAACAATGGCAGAAAGTTTTGGAGACAAGTTGAAGCATCAAGTTTGCAGAAAAATCTGTGCGATGCGTCTGTCACTGCCACTGCACGGCTACAAAATCAAACTAGCTGTGACAGATAAGTGTTATTGTAGAAGTCGATGAGGAAACCTGCAAAATTAAACAAAAACAAAGAGTAACCCTGTAAACTTGAGACTTCAGTCGATTGGCTGTATTTCAATATATTATGTCTTTCTTGAAATACAGATCTGATGACTATATTTTGACCTTATAATGAAACACTAAACAAAGAAGAAACATTCATAACGACTGGTTCCCACATCTGCTGTAACCTCGACATCTACAGACACATTTGGCTTTTAAATCGACAATAAACAGGGTCACTCGTTTATCTGAAACATCGACACCATCACGTCTGTGCACAGAAGAAAATGAAGTTTTGAAGTCGCCTGAGAGCTGATCTGATGTCACTATTTATCTATTGAAGTTAATGTCCTGTTATATCTGATCTCAGTGACCTCTCGTCGTTGCCGTGTCTGTTGTTTACATCCTGCACATCAGCTAGTTGTATAAAGCCTGAGCTCTCTGGGGCGCCCTCTAGAGGTATCCTCCAGTAACACACTTAGTGCATGTTCAAGTTTACATACAATTAGTCTCATGATGCAGCAGGTTGAGCACAAAGTTTAAGAGCAAGTGTACCTCCAGATTTATTGTGTCCTGCGAAACATAAAGTCATGTGATGAGAGAGATGTGATGTATTTAGAGTTTGTCCAATGAGGAAAGGAAAAGAAGTGTTACCTGGACTCGACCGGGAACGGCTCGTAGAGGAACTTCTTGTAGAAATCCTTCTTGATGTCGTGGACGAGGATGACCGCTTTGCCCTGATCGTCAAACTGAGGCCGACCTGCTCGCCCCATCATCTGCAGAACGTCTACACACACACACACACACACACACACACACGCACACACACACACACACACACACACACACACACACACACACACACACACACACACACACACACACACACACACACACACACACACACACACACACACACACACACACACACACACACACACACACACACACACACACACACACACACACACACACACAAGCGCAAGTTCCCATGAAGCATTTTCATTCTGACAAAGGATGTGTCTGAGGATGTGTGTTTGTGTGGTTGTGTACGGGGAGGGGTGGCGGTTTTGGGGGGGCTTAAACATATACAGTATATTAATCTATGAAGAGGGGGATCCACGGGGTTAGATTCAGTTGAAATGCAAAGACGTTTTCTGTTTTGTTTGATGGAAATTTGATTTAGAGTCTGTGGTGTACCTGTGATGGGATAGTCCACGTAGCGCCGAGATTTGCCGTCAAAGTATTCGGTTCCCTTGACAACCACGAGGTGAGCGGGGAAGTTGACCCCCCAGGCCAGAGTGCTGGTGGCTATCAACACCTGAGGAAGGAGACAGAAACTTACCAGTATGATGTGACATTACTGGATGGCAGAGTGGTTTAGGAATCAACATGATTTCTTAAAAACTCAAGATTTTTGTTTAATAAACTCAGAAACAGATTTGACATTTAGACAAAGTGTTCAGAACTCTTCAATACAAAAATACAAAAATGACTTAAGTGTACCAGCCATTGACGGGGAGTAGTGATGTAGAGGCTGAGCTCGTACCTGGATCTTACAGTTGACAAACAGCTCCTCCACAGTCTTTCTGTCCCTCTCGTGCAGACCTGCGTGGTGCATCCCGATCCCGAAGGCCAGCGTCAGCTTCAGGTTAGAATCCCTCACTGTGGCGATGATCGCCTCTATCTGCAGGAAACAAGACGATGGACGACCGAGAGAGATCCTGTTTCATGAGACTGACAAATATCTATGGAAGAGTCCAGAGAAACATTTTACTTCAAGACAAAATTGGGCCTGCATGGATTTTAGTAATTAAAAATATCTGCCAATGGAGTAAGAGCATTTGACTTGTTTTGTCCTGAAACAAAATGTTTATAAGCTTGCATTCTGTGGACAGACACACCACACACAGACACACACACCACACACAGACACACACACAGACACACACACAGACACGCACGCACGCACGCACGCACGCACGCACGCACGCACGCACGCACGCACGCACGCACGCACGCACGCACGCACGCACGCACGCTGAGATCGATACTGAGATCACGATTATGAAACAAGATAACTCTTTAATTTGACACCATCTGATCAAGTGAATTTATCAAACTTTAACACTCTGAACATTCTAACATGTAACTGTGTTTCAGGTAGTGGTGATGAACTTGTGTGGCCAAAAATATAACAACACACACTTGAAACACCTGACAACACCGGCGTGCGGCTCGATAATGGTTACATCTCGATTCTCTTTTTTTCATGATTGTAGGAAGACAAAATCGTAACTGAAATTGAAGTTGGATTAATTGCCCCGCCCTCATTGAGACCTGCCGTTATCTGTCAAAACTTGTCAAATGGACTGGGCCTTAAATTGGGATTTGATTTGTGCCTGATAAAAAATCCACAGTCCATGTTTGTCATTTAAAATGTTGATTAAAAACGTCACTTCTGATTCAAATCTTCTCACCAATCAAGTGGAAAAAAAACAAAAAAAACTCTGAGGTCATAAAACGTTAGAGGAAGTAAAACGGAGAGGTGAAATGCGATCCCTGGGAGAAACAGTCGGGGGGTTTGGGGCAGCAGCAGAGGGAAGAAAGAGCTGTCAGGTGGAAGAGGGGATTTGTGGCAGTGGGTGACCCCCGGTGAGAGTTAAGCAGCCTGCGCCAGGGGCCTGTCAGTCAAACAGCAGGGCGCTGAGCTGCTACACGGGCCAGCGCAGAGAAGCAGCAGGCAGCAGCATATATCAGAGGAACACACACAGAGGAGGGGAAGCTCTGCACACACATATAGAAACACAGCCTACACTGTCAGATGGTACATATTTACACTGAGGACAAGGTGTCATCAAGGACTCTGAACAGGCTTTAAATGCATCACTGGAAAACTAGAACCCTTTAAAGTTCAACATATGATGTGACTTCAGCTATCGATGTGTTTAAACTTCTATCATCATTAACAATCACCTCTTATTTCTGTATCACTACGTTGTTGTCTCCCTCTCTACTTTATCACTACTGTACATCAACCATCTCTCTCTCTCTCTCTCTCTCTCTCTCTGCATGGTACGGTCTCACACTGAAGACATTCAGACTGAACTGGAAGAAGTGTCCACAAATCATCCACAAATCGTCTCCATGACGACGTTCAGACGAGATGGAACAGATCCTTCTAAATCATTATTATATTATATATAAAGTAAAACTCTTACACTTCAGTTTGAAACATTTAATCTGAAAATCCTGACAGTTGTTGCTGCTTCCTGATTGTATGTGAAGCCAGAGCAAAGTTTTTTCTGAATAGTTTTAATGTATGCATTTAGATTTATTATTATTATGATGTTGCTCTTTCAATAAGAAATGCAATCCAACAACAACAACAACACTTTGAGTTATTGTTACAAAAATATTGGAATGGCATCTGTTTTTCAGTTTGGATCTGATATCGGTATCTGTTTAGATACATCGGTATTGGACGTTTATTCACATATTAAGTTCCAATTTTGAAGTTGATTCCTGTCATTTTTAAAAGCAAGATCACAACAGATCGGATAGTTTCCCATCTGAAGCTTGCGAGCAGAAAAGCTCCTTAACTAAAATACAGTTTAATAAAAACGAGTCAGAATTGTGCTAACAGGCGCTCCCCTCTCTGTTTTTAAAGTGTGTCACGGTAAGTTCAGCGCAACCATCAGGTCCTGATCTCCCGGTGTTATAACAATATCAGCATACTTCTCAAACACGAACCCAGAGGAGTCGTTTGCTCCCATCTTGAACTGATCCTACGGTTTGCACAGACAATATAACGGAGGATGACACAGGCTTTTCCATCTGTAATGACACTTAAACCAGCACTTAGAGGGAGAAGTGGAGACGTCTGCATGACCCAGTAAGAGGAGGAGGGAGGGTGAAAGAAGACATGTCAGACTCAGGGTTAGCGTACCTCTCTCTCGTCCTGGTGCAGCCACTGTTTGGGGTTGTCCTCGGTGGCCAGGTAAGCGATGAGGTCCAGGGCGGTCAGTCGAGTTTGCCGTCGAGATGACACAAATATGAGCACCGGCTTGGCAGGAGAGTAGCTGCGTATCGCTGGAGGAAAACGTTCACAAAGTTAGCCGTTTTATCCTGCTGTGAAATGATTATTCTATTTGAGTAACGAGTGAACTCCTCGAGTAAATCACAAAAAAACAAACTTATTTCAGTTTTGAATTCATTCAGTAAGCGGCAATGTCTTGTTTTTGTCCCTAACAGGGGTAGATTGTAATTCTGACAGGATAAACATGAGGGGGGATGAGGGGGTACTCATTACCGATGGCTCCATTAGAGGAAGGAGCCCTAATTGGGCCTGAAATAAGTTTAAAGTTTGTGTTTGGTTTTGTTTATTTTTGTTTGCAGAGTGTGAGGTCTGTCCACGTGGATGTTACCTTGGAAGGTGGGCTTGTTCATGCTGGCCATGCGGGGGCAGTAGTGTTGTCCTGGGAAACCATTGATGTGAACTTCCAGCGGCACGGGGCGAACAGACGGGCGGAAGTTAAACAGACCCACCTTTGACAAAGAGAAAGGGAAGGGGGGGGGTTTAACTCCTTTAACGCTGAACTGCTGCTGGACTGTGTGTGTGTGTGTGGCGTTTAAACTTTGATGTGTGTGTGCTGTGTTTACAGTGTGATAATGTGACATGATGCAGTTTGTGAACATTAACCGTTTCTAGGCAGAAAAAACGTCTTAAAGATGATCTGGACATTTATCAACGAGCCAGAAAAATAAAATACAAACAACAAGAACAACAACAAAGCATGCTCCTGTAGGAAACCAAACAATACAGTTAGTAAAGAAATCTGAACAATTGTTTAAAGGTTGCTTTGTGTCTTGTTGTGCTTAAGACTTTAAGCACAGAAACCTTGCTCACTGAAATGTCTCGTCCTCATCACGCAGTGATCGAGATGATTTTGTGGTTCTTTCACCTCGACAAAAGAAAACAGGGTCCATCACTGGATCTCGAAACAAGACAAGAGCGAGGAGAGTTTCACCTGTTAAAGGAGAGTTTCACCTGTTAAAGAAGAGTTTCACTTTTTGATAAAGCAGAGTTTCACCTTTTGATAAAGGAGAGTTTCACCTGTCGATAAAGGAGAGTTTCACCTTTTGATGAAGGAGAGTTTCACCTTTTGATAAAGGAGAGTTTCACCTGTCGATAAAGGAGAGTTTCACCTGTTGATGAAGGAGAGTTTCACCTGAAAGGAGAGTTTCACCTGTTAAAGGAGAGTTTCGCCTTTTGATGAAGGAGAGTTTCACCTGTCGATAAAGGAGAGTTTCACCTGTTGGTAAAGGAGAGTTTCACCTGTCGATAAAGGAGAGTTTCACCTGTTGATAAAGGAGAGTTTCACCTGTTGATAAAGGAGAGTTTCACCCTCGATAAAGGAGAGTTTCACCTGTCGATAAAGGAGAGTTTCACCTGTCGAAAAGGGAGAGTTTCACTTTTTGATAAAGCAGAGTTTCACCTTTTGATAAAAGAGTTTCACCTTTTGATAAAGGAGAGTTTCACCTGTCGATAAAAGAGTTTCACCTGTCGATAAAGGAGAGTTTCACCTTTTGATAAAGGAGAGTTTCACCTGTCGATAAAGGAGAGTTTCACCTTTTGATAAAGGAGAGTTTCACCTTTTGATAAAGGAGTTTCACCTTTTAATAAAGGAGAGTTTCACCTGTTGATGAAGGAGAGTTTCACCTGAAAGGAGAGTTTCACCTGTCAATAAAGGAGAGTTTCACCTGTCGATAAAGGAGAGTTTCACCTGTCGATAAAGGAGAGTTTCACCTGTCGATAAAGGAGAGTTTCACCTGTCGATAAAGGAGAGTTTCACCTGTCGATAAAGGAGAGTTTCACCTGTCGATAAAGGAGAGTTTCACCTGTCGATAAAGGAGAGTTTCACCTGTCGATAAAGGAGAGTTTCACCTGTCGAAAAAGGAGTTTCAACTGTCGATAAAGGAGAGTTTCACCTGAAAGGAGAGTTTCACCTGTCAATAAAGGAGAGTTTCACCTGTCAATAAAAGAGTTTCAACTGTCGATAAAGGAGAGTTTCACCTGTCGAAAAGGGAGAGTTTCACCTGTCGATAAAGGAGAGTTTCACCTGTCGAAAAGGGAGAGTTTCACCTGTCGATAAAGGAGAGTTTCACCTGTCGATAAAGGAGAGTTTCACCTGTCGATAAAGGAGCTGCAGAATTATCCTAATGGCTTTCAGGTGTATTTCTGGATGTCAGCGGTCCAGTTTAAAATACAATACTTTATTGTCTCCTGGGGGGAAATCTGTTCTCACAGCTTTGCATGGTTGGTACACATGAAGAAAACGTATAACAGCAGGTAGAAAACACAAAGCAAAGAAGGGGCCAGTCAGCATAGAAGATTGTGTAGGGTTTCAATCGCTGAGGGGACAAAGTTTGATCTTCATTTCTCCAGAGAGCTAAAATGTTCCTCTTTGCAACTACCATGCCATATAGTACACAACCAGTCAAGGCCAAATGTATCGGGTTATCTTAATTACTGTTTTTATATCCAATCGATCGGAAATGAAGAAAAAGCAACAAGTGAAGCGTACGAAAACACAGAGCGAGACAAAGACTGTGGTTTCTGTTGGGATGATCCTGAAACAAGAGAGCTTATGAAGAAGAGAGTACAGCCGATATCAGACATACACAGAAAGTAACTCTGAGCCATGTTCTGGTATTCACAGTCTAAGAATAAAAACCAGTGTGTGTGATGTGTGTTTTGGGGCCATGATGGATTTCTGACCTGTTTGATTCCCAGCCAGTCGGCGAGGTCTCGAGCGTTGGCCAGAGCCGTGGACAGGCCGACCACTCTGACTGTCTTAGAGGTGTGAGATGAGATGAAGTTGGTCCTGGACACGATTACTTCCAACACTGGACCCCTGTCCTCACCTTCAGACACACACAGAGAAACAGTTCATTTAAACATCTGTAATGACTTTGGTAGACTTAATTATATTCATCAAAATATGAAAATAAATGTTTTTCAACAAATGTTTTTCAATGAGGAAGACGAGACTTTGACGAGCCAAAATGAAATCTTCACTAAATCCCAGAGTCTGAACTCATTTTAAAGGTGCAATATGTAACTTTGACTCCTAGTGTTTAAAATGGGTACTGCAGTCTAAATTCTAAACATTGTAGAGAGCTGTCTCCCCCCCTCCTCTCTAGAGTGGATGCTCACTCAGGTCACCATGTGGTGGACTCTGAAGCTTCAGTGTTTATCCAGCTCTGCATGGGTCTGTAAACCTTTCTGTGTTCTAACCTCTCTCCATTTTTCAAAAGCATCTCCAATATTGATCCTAGTTTGAGCACGTTTCTGCTCGTGGAGCTTATTAGAAACATGCAGAGGCTTTTTAGGTCGGGTACAATCACTTCTATCTGAACCACTTCTCTTGACCGCTTCCATCGCTGCAACACCTGTTGACCTGATAACTGCTCTCATATCTGACAAACCGAGGGGCGTCCAAAATGTCCGTCGGGGACTCTTGACTAACCCAGTAGGTGGATTTCATCGATGATGAGGATGGCTACTTTCTGGACGTAGCTTCGGTTCTGCCAGCTTCTGCTCACTCCGTCCCATTTCTCAGGTGTGGTGACGATGAGGTCGGCCTGAGATATGGCTCTCATGTCTGGAGTCACGTCACCCGTCAGCTCCACAACTCTGCACAGAACAAACGGACATGAGAATAATCATGCTGGCCTGTTTCTGTCACTATCTTCTGCTGTGCTGCTTGTTCCCCGACATTTTGATGACACTTTACAATTTTGCCAACCAGGTTAAGACGGTTTGAAACAAGTCAGACAGGAAAATAAAACATTTGAGCCAAACATTAACATATCGCTCAAAATGAGACATGAATAAATATTCTTTTTCTGACTGTTACGACAAGGTAAAAACCAAACTTTTGCCCAGGTTTGACCCCCCTTCTGACCTTATTCTACTATTACCTCCCCTACACAGAAGTCATAAAATAAAACTTTTTTACGCCTGTCCACTTTATGTGTAACAGCAGCTCAAGCTAACAAGCAGCAGACCCGTTAATACAAACCGCCCACAGCCTCTGTCTTCACTTACTTCCTCCCCAGTTTCTGCTCAATCCTGACCTTCCAGTCCTCGATCCTCTCTCTGACCAGGGCCTTCAGGGGGGCGATGTACACCACCTGAAGCCAACGACAAACACAAAAGATTCAAAAGAGAAACATCGACAGGTTTCTCTTCTTAACGGTCTGCAGACATAAACAGTCATTTCATCACATTAAGGTCACTCGTTAAATGCATCAATTACATTTTCTGTTTGTATCTTTAGTGCGACTTTAGAGTCTTTAGAGTTCATTTACATTATTTATTTTGTGAAGGTCGAGTATATTAACATCTAGTAAGCTTCTTGTGTAAGCACCACTAAGTGACAACGCTTGCTAACAGTAGACAGCATCATGTGAGTGATTCTTTAATGTGCTCGTTCATTCAACATCAAAACAGACGGAGTCAGAGAGAGTCAAACCTTAGCAGTCGGGTACTTGTTGAAGACCCTGAACATGGCCATCTCTGCTGCGATGGTTTTTCCGGAGCCTGTCGGGGCCCCGAGCAGGACGTTAGTGTCCGTGTGATACAGCGTGTGGAAGATCTGCGTCTGGATGGGGTTGAAGTGAGTGAACTTGTAGAGGCTCTCGTACTCCCGGTTACCCAGAGCGGTCACAGGCAGCGGCTGCAGGTCCAGCAGCTCTGAGAGGAGGAGGAGAAGGATTATAAGGTGTGATGAACATGTCAGGACAATTGGCTAACTGACAGACTGTGAAGCCTGAGTGATGTCACCCTTCAGTTCCTGCAGGGGGCGCTGGAGTCCCATCGATGGCGGTCTCCATGCTGGAAATGCTGTCTCAGTCTAACTTTCAGTCAACCTAACGACAGGCTGAGAGCTGGAGCTGAGGCGGGTTTTAAACCTCCTGACAAACCGTTACACCGCGCCCACCTGTCAATCAGGTCAGCTACACGCCTTATTGTGAATAACTCTTATCCTTCATCAAATCAAAACTGATGAGTCATCAAAACATTCACCCCCCGTACAGTGTGTGTCCATCCAGACATGAGCTAATCACACCTATTTGGTTTTTTGAACCAGGCTGTAAACATGTTCATCTCTGCTGTAAAAACAGGCTTTTTCGAATGGGTGTGTATGTGACTTCCTGTTCTTCTGCAGCCAGCCTCTAGTGGACACTCCAGGAACTGCAGGATTTTGCTCGTGACCACTAACTAGTATTTAACTACGTTTGCCTTCTCTCCCATTGTTGAACAGCGGGAATATTAAAAATGTTCTCATGAGGACAGCTGCTAGCTTGGCTTTTCTTTAGATTCATCTTTATTAGCCCCCCTACAAAAATAAAGAGATTAAATAGAAATAAGACACCTTTTCTGATCACTTCTCTTGAGAATCCCAAAAAAATCAGATAAAACATTCTGTTCTTGCTTTCAGGTTTTATTTTTATTTTTCAGCTTCCACATATTGTTATACTTATTTTCCCCAAATTAGAAAGTTAAAGATTAAAATAATAGTTATTTATTGTTTGCCCAATAAATACAAATTGTATCTCAAGTTAGTCATTAGAGAGATTGAGCGTTTGCATTTGGAGGCTTCGTTTGGTTTTAAAGAAAACGTTCCATGTGAAGAGCAAATAAGGTCGACTAAGAGGATGAAACGTGATCCTGGAACCGGCCTGCTGTCATCGAACACAGACTTAGATTCTTCTGAATCTCTGTAAACAGAAATGTGCTTATAAAGCTGCAGACGTCGTTTTTCTTCCTAAACTTAATCTTCCCATTCTCAAAGAAGACCGGCAGACAATAAAAAGGAAGTCCTGGTTCATATCTAATATCAGTTTGTGGTCTGGTCTGGCTTCACTTGTTTCCACTAGAGGCTTGTTCAGACGCAGGCCGACAGCTACAGAGATCGTCGTTCTCCAAATGTTAAGACTCTAAAGTTACCATCATAAACCCAAACATCTGAAGCTCCAGTTCTTGGAAGATCATACTCTGATGGATTTGCCAAAGAGTTCAATGTTCTGAAGCGTCTTAACATCCCGGACACTAGCTGCACGACAACCTGAAGCTTTAATATAAAAGAATGTGAAATGAAGGACTGCCGGGAGATGTTGCTCAGACAGTGTGTCATGTGATCTCCTCTGTGGGTTTACTTCCTGATAACTGCAGTGATTCAGTTCTTTTGTTCTTCAGTCCAGTCAGGATTTAAACGTCTCCATGCAGCTTCCAAACAGCCACAACAACGATGAGTTAAAGTCGTTTTATTAAGAGAAAGTTTCCTTTGTTTGTTCCAGGATCAGATTTGAGTAACAGACGAGGTTTCTGCCTCATCAATCATACTGACATCCTCACTACTATTCAAGGATAAATGACACATCAGCACTTCTTTGAGTCAATGTCATCACTTCCACACTCCAATGATTCTCCTGCAAATATCGTCTTTCCTGTCCATTGATGCTGAAGGCGTTTAATAAGCTGTGCATGTCTTGTTGTTTAGTCCTGGTTTTATCAAAGAATAGTCCAACCCACTAAAATATCTGATTGTGTTTTTTAGACGTGTTCCTTTGAATTGTTTTTGTATCATGGCTTTCATCTTGACAATCAAACAAAGACAAGTAAATGAATCGATGACTTCAGGATGTGAACTTTTCTTTGAGGAATTTGCACCCAAGTTAAACTTTACAAGCATTTTGATTGATAGTACAATGGGCAAAGTGTGGCAGTAATAACGTCTGTGTTCTGGAGTTGGTCGCTGTAAAGAGTCAACTTTTTGGCAGAAGGTGGATTTATTGATTTATTTGTATCAAACCTGAGACCTTACTTTGGTTTGATAAGTTCCTGCAGCCGGTTAAGCTGCTAAACATGAGACAAAGATGACACCGCTAACAATACAGCTCAACGTCTAGATCTGTTCAGAATAATATCTGCAGGGATGAACACTGCTTCTTGCTTGCTCAATCACTCTCTCTCTTTTTCTCTTCTTAGCTTCATCCGTCCTCTTCCTCTTCCTCTTCCCCTCAGCCGTCATATCAAACAGTACAGAGACGGGCTAACTCTCTGCTTTGTAGCTGAAGGCTGCTGTGTGAACTAGTGCTGTAAAGACGTACGCACTTCTTGCAAGATAACCTCGGCCTGTTAAAAAGTTACATAGTGCAGTTAACGGGCGATCAGGGGGCGCCGAATACGAGTTGGTTTGGTAGATATTACAAATCTAAATACTTCGATTCTAACATTTCACCTGGTCATCTTTGTGTTTCTATGCGCTCACATAAGTCCTAAATATCCACAGACGGAGCAGGTCCTTAATAAGACGAACCAACAGCCGTCACCAGTGCAGACCTTTCCGTTTTCCTGCGAGTTTTCCTGAATGCTTCAGAGGAGACGTTGAGGGGAAGGTTTGTCACTTGGTTGCAATCTGCAAACTTGCTGCCTGGAGGTCACTAAATCCTTCACACTTCTCCTGAAATGATCTGCGAGTTTCTACTAAAGCTGAAACCAGTATAGGAGGAAGTGCAGGATTCTGGATTCTTAACAATGATCTGCAGCATCTGGAACCCAACAGCTGGAGATATTCAACAACGTCGAGCAGTCCTCAGCTGTTGGTAGCTCGGTTACAGACGAACTGACTTATTACTCTGCAGAAAACTCAAAACTTTGCAAATTCATCTGAGCAGATAAACATCTTAAATAAATAAAGGCTGGAGGTGAATTCTCCTGATTATATTCTGCTGCGTTCACACATCAGCTCCTCCTGGAAATATCAGGAGTTTTCTTCAAGTGTGAAAGCCCTTAAAGATTTTGTGTGTGTCTGAGTGTGTGTACCTGTGTGTGTGTATGTGTGTGTGTGTGTGTCCCTGTGTGTGTGTCCCTGTGTGTGTGTGTGTGTGTGTGTCCCTGTGTGTGTGTGTCTCTGTGTGTGTGTGTGTGTGTGTGTGTGTGTGTGTGTGTGTGTGTGTGTGTGTGTGTGTGTGTGTGTGTGTACCTGTGTGTGGGGGGTGTACCTGTGTGAGTGTGTGTGTGTGTGTGTGTGTGTGTGTGTGTGTGTGTGTGTGTGTGTGTGTGTGGGGGGTGTGTCTGTGTGTGTGTGTGTGTGTGTGTGTGTGTGTGTGTGTGTACCTGTGTGTACCTGTGTGTGGGGGTGTACCTGTATGTGTGTGTGTGTGTGTGTGTACCTGTGTGTACCTGTGTGTGGGGGGTGTACCTGTGTGTGTGTGTGTGTGTGTGTGTGTGTACCTGTGTGTGGGGGGTGTACCTGTGTGTGTGTGTGTGTGCACCTGTGTGTACCTGTGTGTGGGGGGTGTACCTGTGTGTGTGTGTGTGTGTGTGTGTGTGTGTGTGTGTGTGTGTCCCTGTGTGTGTGTGTGTGTGTGTGTGTGTGTGGGGGGTGTACCTGTGTGTGTGTGTGTGTGTACCTGAGTGTGTGTGTGTGTGTGTGTGTGTGTGGGGGTGTACCTGTGTGTGTGTGTGTGTGTGTGTACCTGAGTGTGTGTGTGTGTGTGTGTGTGTACCTGTGTGTGGGGGTGTCCCTGTGTGTGTGTGTGTGTGTGTGTGTACCTGTGTGTGGGGGTGTCCCTGTGTGTGTGTGTGTGTGTGTGTGTGTACCTGTGTGTGGGGGGTGTCCCTGTGTGTGTGTGTGTGTGTGTGTGTGTACCTGTGTGTACCTGTGTGTGGGGGGTGTCCCTGTGTGTGTGTGTGTGTGTGTGTGTACCTGTGTGTGGGGGGTGTCCCTGTGTGTGTGTGTGTGTGTACCTGTGTGTGGGGGGTGTCCCTGTGTGTGTGTGTACCTGTGTGTGGGGGTGTCCCTGTGTGTGTGTGTGTGTGTGTGTGTGTACCTGTGTGTGGGGGTGTCCCTGTGTGTGTGAGTGTGTGTGTGTGTGTGTGTGTGTGTGTGTGTGTACCTGTGTGTGGGGGGTGTCCCTGTGTGTGTGAGTGTGTGTGTGTGTGTGTGTGTGTGTGTGTGTGTACCTGTGTGTGGGGGTGTACCTGTGTGTGTGTGTGTGTGTGTGTGTGTGTGTGTGCGTGTACCTGTGTGTGGGGGGTGTACCTGTGTGTGTGTGTGTGTGTGTGTGTGTGTGTACCTGTGTGTGGGGGGTGTACCTGTGTGTGTGTGTGTGTGTGTGTGTGTACCTGTGTGTGGGGGGTGTCTCTCGGGCAGGATGAGGTTCTGGAAGTTTATGATGCAGACGGCCTCGGCCCCCAGCCAGCGGTCGGACACGGCCTTGATGTAGTACTGAGAGGGCAGCGGCTCGAAGATGGGGATGGTGAACACGATGTTCTGAGGCTCTCCTGTCACCACCTGAAGGGGGGGGGGGGGGGGGGGGGGGGGGGTACGGATAAAGGAACATCAGTCCCCTCTTTAAGAAAGACGTTCAGAAGTCAGATCTGAATGAATCTACCGACCTGCTTCTTCTGCAGGAGGAGGTGTTCAGAGTGATAGATGTGGTCGTTGATGGGGTCCTCCACCCACAACCACCACGGCTCACCCACTGACCCATGGACCTGGATCGGGGGGGGACACACAACATTTTAGTAAGACTTTCTCAACACTGACAGGTAAAGGGAAAAACTATGTGGAGAAGGTTTACTGTCATGAGAAAAACAAGGAAACTTTAATGGCTGACTTTCTGTTTGACTTTAGGCTCCAACAGATTTTAAAGAGTCGACAGATTTTACATCAAATTCAAGTTTCATTTTAAATGTGGTGGCTTTGACTATTTCATATTTCTGGGGGGCAGCTGAAAGCGGTTTTGCGGCACCTTCGGCTAATTCCCATATCAGATGTTTTTGTCTCTTCTGATGCATGTGCAAAACATTTAAGAGGTTCCAATGTCCCCCTTGAGCCTTAGAATAAACCCAGAAGAACATTTCAGTCAGACTGCCCCCTAAAATCTTCCTAACCTGCTTGTTCAAACATGCACATCCCAGCTAGAGACTATCTCTGTGGGATAGGAGGGGCGGCTTCAGGACGCAGTGTGTGAAATCAAGGCAACTCTATCCAAACACAGGCGTTAGTAAGATGGCATCTTCATCAATCAATCTACAACTGGGACACTTTCTTAATCAGTCCTGACGATGTGTTCCCCTCAAATATGAAACTGGATAGCAGAATAAAAGATGATAGTAATTATCTAAACAAAACAAATCTGTCTTTGCACTTTGTGCCAGAGGACAGTTAATGCTCAGACCCTAATAACAAACACAGTAAATATAAAAACGATAGTTATGTTTGTTTGTATATGTTGTAGGTATGTGAGTGTTGAATTAGGGTGGTAAAAGTTGAAGGACATTAAAGCTGAAAACCATACAGACAAAACAGATAAATATTTTAACACATCAGCTTTAAAAACCCACTGAAGGTTTAATGTCTGAATTAAGAACAATGAACAATCCTCCCAGAGTCACAGCAGGACATGTAGGGTGGTGTGTCAGTGTGGTCTGCTTCCTGGGTGCCATCAGGGAGGCGTCTCATGTGTCGCTACATGTGTCCCGGCTCGGCAGCCGGATCACAGCTAAGCCACAGAGTCTTCCATTACCACTCTCCCATGATTGGAGCATGCATCGCTAATCGGACACAAACATTCATCTTAATATTCAGCTCCGCTACAATAAGCTTCCTGTTCCTCTCAGATTGCATTACAGACTGCCGACTAAGCTTCCCATGATCCCCCTTCTGGCCCGTCCGTCCGCTGAGGTGGGACATGCTGACGAGGTCTTCAGGAGTCCTGGCTCCCGAGGACAGATGGAGGAGCAGCTTCTCGTCTGCACACTGTGAAAACGTGACTGAAGTGTTTGTGTTGGTAAGAAGTGAGAGCTGTGGCGTTAATGTGCGGAGCGGCTTCCGGAGGACCCTGTGTGAGGTCTGTGAGGGGCTACGGGTCTGTTGGAACCAGCCCCTCCACGTGCCATCAAGGATCTGAGCTGGGTCTCAGACTAGGACTGGGATGATGACATAACTGTTGTTCTTTGTAAAGAGCCATTTTATTTTGTTACTAACTGTTGCTCTTGTTGTTTGATGCGTCGTCCATCTGTGCAATGACAATAAAGTTTTTTATTCTATAGTTGTGCAGTGAGTGAAACTGCAGGAGAGGTTCAGTGAAGAAGTCTTTGATGCATTTTGTCACATTTTTTGTGCATCAGAGCAATAAAGAAAAACTTTTATTTTGAGTTCGGAGGGAATTTAAAACATTTTAAAGGGACAGTTCTGGATTTTCTAGATGGGGTTGTACGAGGGACTGAGGGTCAATAGTCAGAGTATTTTAACCAACAGGAGGTGCCGGTCAGCTCAGCCTCTTAATTGAGAAACTGGACGGAGAAGCCGGGCTAAACCTCGCTGCAGAGGGGGGCTGTTTGTACCAAGTTCATTTAAGAGAAATCAGACGCATTTTGTATCACACAACTTTTCTACTCCTCAGCCAGCCATGACTCTAACTGCATTTTAAATCTAAATGCCTCTCCATGAATCATCAGTATTATCCACTGTATACTCGTTACTATAACTACAAGAATAATGATACAAGCAGTCAGATGAACCTGACCTCCCTTTTTACTAAAAACAAACTGAGAAGAACTGAGTGAAATATGAAAAGCTGCATCATTTGTTACCCCTCATCATCAGGGATATCAACTTTACAAACAATAAACAAAAATATATCTCTGTCAATAAGTTTGCTTGAATGCTTTTTCTCTAATGAGCTGAGACAGTGTTGAACATGTAACATACACACACGCTGATCATTTTGCGGATGTGTGTGTGTATCCGTGCACTGGCTGCATGAGTCAGACAAACTAATAAACAAGCAGTCTGTGTTCAGGGACTTTATCTTCAGTTTTTGGACCAAACACAGCGCTCTGTAGCTACTGCCTACAACAGGCTGACTGATTCATGTCGCACACAGCCAGCAGCTGATAGCTGCATGATAAACACAGACACGCTGAGATGAAACAGAGGGAAGTTGAAGCAGTATTTGAAACAACGTAATCAAACATGAAGAAGTATCAACACTTTCTGACTCGTTTCTGTGTCAAGGATTGTAAAAAACTTGTTTGAAAAAATATTTCAAAAGACTGATTTGATTTTTTATAAGTGCAACAAATGTTGGAGCCTACACACACGACGTAAACGCTGCTTTCTTTTCACTGACACTCTGCACGGGTATTTAGGGGCAGTATATTTATTTAAGAAAACTTACTGGTATCATTAAACATACAACAAAAATCAAAAGTCAGACATGCCAGCAGCAGAAAGGAAAGCAGTCTGCATCACTCAGGAGCCCTCACCCCCCCTCCACCGCTCGTTTCAGCTGCTCCCCTCAGGCAGACGTTTTAAAGTACCACTGGCGAAAAAGAAAACTTACAGAAACTCTTTTATTCCCACTGCAATACACACGTCAAGGTTTAAATGCTGTGCATGTGTTTTTACCTATTCAGGGTACTTTTAGCTATTTATGACCTGATGTGAGTGTTAGTGTGAATGTTTGTATGTTTTCATGTTGAGCCTCAACAAAATGTCAGTTTCTGTCACAATGTGATAGACAATAAAGTTTTTTGAATCTTGAATCTTGAATGATGGTAAATCTTCTAACGACCTGCGGATCATTTTAATTGTCGCTGGTGATCTGACAGATGGCGTTTCAACTGATGTGTTGCACCAATCAAAACAAATACATACAAATGTGTACCTGCTGTCTAACATGTCAAAACATCTTTGTGATCTTGTGTTCCAGAAGATAATAAATCTATATATTTTCACAAATAAAAATGAGGCGATTATCTCGGAGAAAATCACAAGAACGATATGAAGAGAGGCACACGTCTCTAACGTCCTCCTCACTGCTCACCTGGTCGTTCCATCGAAAGTCCGGTGTGATGATGAGGCGTACGCGCAGGACGGTGCGTGTGATTGGCTGGATGCTGGCCTCCATGGTGATGGAGGGGATCTGGTGGACACACTGTTTGACTGATAGTCCGATGTTGACATGATGCAGCATGTGACCTGGGAACAAAACACCTTCAGTTAACACTCAACATTAGCTAACGATGCTAACTGGACTTTTTACACGCTCTCACACACACACACACACACACACACACAGTTACTGTCCTACTATGTTGACGAGCAGAGACGCCTGATTGGACGACGGAGGTCACTGCTGCTTCATACAACGCAGTGAGGGGAAAAAACCTGCCGCCAACATCGACGGTTTTGGAGGTGACCTGGTCGGACTTTGGGATTGTGGAATAACTTTAAAATGAAACGCTAATAGCAGATGAATGCAGAGAAAGCTGTTGCATGTCAGATGTTTTTTAAAGAAATTAGCGTGTGTGGACGGGATTCTTTTTTTAACCTGAGGAGGAAAACCTCTGTTTTCAAAAATAGCCGCCTACATGTGGCCTCGGGTAGATCTATTTTTGAATGTCTGCCTCTCTTTTAACTGCATGTCCTCCATCGATCTCTCTCTTTTTATCGACTGCAGCACAATGAAGAACAGCAGAAGAATCATCAACTGCAGTGAGTACACGATGTACGTCCATTTTGAAAACTGGATCTAAACTGGATCTCACCATGGAGACAAATTTTAGACACATGCCTACTCCTCAACTCTCTTCTACCTCTCAAGTCCCCCATACAAAGCACCTTCTCTCCCTCCCTTTCTCTCTTTCTCTCTATCGCTTCTTTCACTTCTTGTATCCTTTCTTGAGTATTTCGTATAGTGTTGTAATGTATTTGCTGGTTTTAGTCTGATGTGTGTCTATTGATGTCTTAGTATTTTGCTGTCTTTATTTGTTTTATGTGTTTTGGAGTTGTTTGTGTTTTTATGCCTCATTTGTTATGTATATGTCACCAGTTTGTCACTCTATTGCACCTAATAAAAAAAAAAAAGAATAAAAAAAAGACGCATGCCTATGGACTGAAACATGTACTTCAAGTAGAAAAGAACAGAGATCTATTTCTCACAAGTTAAAACACCAGGAACAGCTTCTTCTTCTTTTTGTGCTACTTCTGGTAGATGCGCATGTCAAAACAGTTTTAGAGTGATTAAATGTTTGATGTGCACGCAAGTCATAATCTGAGCATTTAATTTAGTGTCCATGGCAACAGTGAAGTTAGAATCCTCATCAGAATTATTTTCATGGGGTTGAAGAAATGTTACTGACAAGCTCTGACAACAAAAACTGACACTATAGAAAAGGTTATAAAAGTAGAATTCATGGTAGAGCTGTATTGGATTCATAAAGTTGGGTGGCCGTACTGTTATGTCTCGTCAGTGAATGCAGCATTCGAGTTGTGATTCAGTTTTTGTTTTTACCGATCTCATCCTTCTTCATTTCCTTGAGTTTGTCCACAGTGAGCTTCTTCTCCTCCAGGCGGTTCAGCACGACGTGGCTCAGGTTGGAGAACTGACGGAGCGGGTGGGAGAAGCCCCACAGCCTCTTATCGATCACCTTACAGAGCGTGAGCAGGCGGTACGTCATGGCCGGCCATTTCTTCCTCAAGGCGATCTCAAACAAAGCCCTGACGATCCGAGCGGCGTTCTGTGGGGAAGTGAAAAAGTAGATGATTAACTGCTGCATTTGTGGACGGATTAGTTTCCCCTTCTCAAGACTTTAAAAGTAGGAATGAAACAAGTGAAACACATGTGTGCCAGAGCAGGAGTCCCCCCCCCCCCGCAGCAGCTGTATGGATCATCACGCTGCATGCTGGTGATTAATCATGTGTGATCAGGAGGAGGTCTGTCCGGGGTTCAGACGTCCAGGTTGGCCCCAGCTGTGCACTGATGGATCACCGCTTTAGTTCTGGAGGAGAGGTCAGGTGGTCGTGTAGCTCGCTGATAGACTGCTCAAGTCTGGTCAGCCTGCGATTGATTTGGTCAGGTGTGAATCTGAATCTCTGAACACACTCAGGACTAAAGAAATCTGTGTTCTGTTGGAAAGCGGGTGAGACTGAGAGGAGTGTGTGGGTCCAGTCTGAAGTCTGGGGGGGGGATGACTCATGGAAAGAAGATCCTGTTTTAGGGGAACCTACACACCTCATTGACATATCATTCTGGGTTTAAATGGAGATTTAAAGCAGGGTTGGTAATTTTTTAAAACTAGCATGATTTTGAAAGTAGCATTCCGTCAGTGCTCCGTCTGCACCCAGCCCCTCCCCTCTGTGCTCCCTCTTAAGCCACGCCCCTGACTTACATGCACGAGTACGCAAGAGGTAGAGAGCGAGCAGGAGCGTCTGATTGGTTCATCAGATTGGTACCTTGTGCAGACATTGGTTGAAGTTTTACAGACTTACAAACTGATCCAGATGATGGATTCTCTTTGTTCCTTTTTCAGAGAACATGAGTTATTAATCTCTGTCAGGACCTAAAGACAATTTACACCAAAATCTGTGTTTCTGGAGGAAATTACCAACTCTGACTTGAATGATTAAAAAAATTGGAAATTGCAAGTTGGGATGTCTAAGTCTCTGAAAACATCACAGAAAGGATCCCTACAGAGAGAGAGAGCTTGTTGTAAAGAGAGGACGCCTCGTTAAACTAGAAACATCGTCTTATCTTTTTCTTCTGGATCAGTAAGCTGCATTGACAAAAACAATGATTTGACTTTAATACAGACTTTTCCCTCTACAGCTGCTGTGATCTGTCAGTTAGTTTGATGTTGTTTGTGAGTTTAAATGTCATCAACTGGCCGCTGAGCGTGTCCTGCTCCTTCTTGTCCTCACCTGAGCCACATAGGACAGGTCTGAGATGAGGGAGAAGCTGTCCACCTCTCCCCTGCTGATGTACGTCTGAAGCAGAACGTTTATCTTCCCGTAGCTGTTCTCCACGCCGCCTGCAGCCGGCAGCTCGCAGTAGTTACACAGCAGCTGCTCCAACTCCTCCATCTCCTCATCGCGAACCTGCAGACACACATCCACAGAGTGTTTACAAACCGGTGAGGCATCAGCGAGCTTTCAGTATAAGAATGTTTTCACAACCACCTGAGGGGAGAACCTTCATGAAAAGCGTTATAAGTAATTATTTTTCTTAGTGGATGACTGCAGGTTTTTAAATTAAGACTTGAAACATAAATCATGGTGTTTATAAACATCATCTCTCACCTTCAGCTGCTCAAACTCCTCGGCCTTGGACACGATGCTGAGGATGTCGCCTTCAGTTCGCTGAGAGTTAAAGCTTTCGTTGAAAGTCTTCAAACGAGGAGGGAAAAGACACATGATTGGTTAAAAGGGTTTGGATCAGACCCCCTAAACTCTGATAAAGGAACTGCATGGATATACAAGAGGAACTATCTTTGGATATATGAGGGCGCAGATTGACCTTACGAAAGAATGCACTAGAGAAACAGGTACAGACTGGAGTGAACTAACTCCTAAACCTGACTCCTTCTGTTTTGATGTAATAATGCAAAAATGTGACTCTTTGACCTTGCCTGTTTTGTTTTTGTTTTGTTTCTTCAGCATGCATTCCTGTAATGTTTTTGTTTCTCGTGTAAGTCTGTGCTTTTGTTCCTTTTTTTTGTGCTGTATAACACGTAAAAACTCAAAAACTGAGTTTGGATCAGGATCGTCCCTACATCTCCACTAACGTATCGGACTTAAGGTCGAGAATATCTTAATAAGCATGTAAACTTGTACTTGGTAAACAAAGCCAGCCGTAACTTCACCACCTTTTGTATCTGATAGTCAGTCTCACATTCAGTAAATGTATTGATGAATAGCACCTCCCCTCAATTTAAAATTGGTCCAAACCAAAAGATGAAAAACAAAACAAGTGACAGAAACACATTCAGCTTACACACAAAGACTCACATGTACACACCCCAACCCCCATATTGTTCCCATTATCCCGCAACACCCAAACAATTCAAACAGGAACTTAAAATCACAAAACATTGAACAGACAGGTTATGAAGACGTTTAAAGGAGTGATAGTAAAAGTAATACTTGAGATGATAACACAGGTAACAAGCAGAAGCCTTCCATTTAAAGGGGCAGGAAGACGTTACCATTTACCACCATGTTGTTTACATCTCACACATCAGGAGGTTGTCGCCAAGTATGTGATCAACATGTGTTGTATCTGATGAAGAAAACTGCAGGTCTGCTGAAACTCTCTTTTAAATGGAGGTTGAAGACTCATCTGTTTACAGCTGCCTTTCATTAAACAATTTTAATAAGATTTTAAACTCTGCACTGTAACTTTTAACTCTTTTTATATTTTTACTTTCAATTAATGTCATTTGAATTTTTTTTAATTGAACATATTTTCAGATTTAATCATTTCAGTGATTTTTTTAATTTTCACTATTTTAATGTTTCTTTTCTTTCCTCTGTCATGATGCTTTTGATGTCTTGTGTGAAGCACTTTGAATTACCTTGTTGTTGAAATGTGCTTTATAACTGATGATGTAGTCAGTGTACCTCGATGGTGTTGTATCTGATGTAGTGAGTGTACCTCGATGGTGTTGTATCTGATGATGTAGTGAGTGTACCTCGATGGTGTTGTATCTGATGTAGTGAGTGTACCTCGATGGTGTTGTATCTGATGCAGTGAGTGTACCTCGATGGTGTTGTATCTGATGTAGTGAGTGTACCTCGATGGTGTTGTATCTGATGATGTAGTGAGTGTACCTCGATGGTGTTATAACTGATGATGTAGTGAGTGTACCTCGATGGTGTTGTATCTGATGTAGTGAGTGTACCTCGATGGTGTTGTATCTGATGTAGTGAGTGTACCTCGATGGTGTTGTATCTGATGTAGTGAGTGTACCTCGATGGTGTTGTATCTGATGTAGTGAGTGTACCTCGATGGTGTTGTATCTGATGATGTAGTGAGTGTACCTCGATGGTGTTGTATCTGATGTAGTGAGTGTACCTCGATGGTGTTGTATCTGATGTAGTGAGTGTACCTCGATGGTGTTGTATCTGATGTAGTGAGTGTACCTCGATGGTGTTGTATCTGATGTAGTGAGCGTACCTCGATGGTGTTGTATCTGATGTAGTGAGTGTACCTCGATGGTGTTGTATCTGATGTAGTGAGTGTACCTCGATGGTGTTGTATCTGATGTAGTGAGTGTACCTCGATGGTGTTGTATCTGATGTAGTGAGTGTACCTCGATGGTGTTGTATCTGATGTAGTGAGTGTACCTCGATGGTGTTGTATCTGATGTAGTGAGTGTACCTCGATGGTGTTGTATCTGATGATGTAGTGAGTGTACCTCGATGGTGTTGTATCTGATGATGTAGTGAGTGTACCTCGATGGTGTTGTATCTGATGATGTAGTGAGTGTACCTCGATGGTGTTGTATCTGATGTAGTGAGCGTACCTCGATGGTGTTGTATCTGATGATGTAGTGAGCGTACCTCGATGGTGTTGTATCTGATGTAGTGAGCGTACCTCGATGGTGTTGTATCTGATGTAGTGAGTGTACCTCGATGGTGTTGTATCTGATGTAGTGAGTGTACCTCGATGGTGTTGTATCTGATGTAGTGAGTGTACCTCGATGGTGTTGTATCTGATGTAGTGAGTGTACCTCGATGGTGTTGTATCTGATGTAGTGAGTGTACCTCGATGGTGTTGTATCTGATGATGTAGTGAGTGTACCTCGATGGTGTTGTATCTGATGTAGTGAGCGTACCTCGATGGTGTTGTATCTGATGTAGTGAGCGTACCTCGATGGTGTTGTATCTGATGATGTAGTGAGTGTACCTCGATGGTGTTGTATCTGATGTAGTGAGCGTACCTCGATGGTGTTGTATCTGATGATGTAGTGAGTGTACCTCGATGGTGTTGTATCTGATGATGTAGTGAGCGTACCTCGATGGTGTTGTATCTGATGTAGTGAGCGTACCTCGATGGTGTTGTATCTGATGTAGTGAGCGTACCTCGATGGTGTTGTATCTGATGATGTAGTGAGTGTACCTCGATGGTGTTGTATCTGATGTAGTGAGTGTACCTCGATGGTGTTGTATCTGATGTAGTGAGCGTACCTCGATGGTGTTGTATCTGATGATGTAGAGAGCGTACCTCGATGGTGTTGTATCTGATGTAGTGAGTGTACCTCGATGGTGTTGTATCTGATGTAGTGAGTGTACCTCGATGGTGTTGTATCTGATGCAGTGAGTGTATCTCGATGGTGTTGTATCTGATGTAGTGAGCGTACCTCGATGGTGTTGTATCTGATGATGTAGTGAGTGTACCTCGATGGTGTTGTATCTGATGATGTAGAGAGCGTACCTCGATGGTGTTGTATCTGATGTAGTGAGTGTACCTCGATGGTGTTGTATCTGATGTAGTGAGTGTACCTCGATGGTGTTGTATCTGATGATGTAGTGAGTGTACCTCGATGGTGTTGTATCTGATGTAGTGAGCGTACCTCGATGGTGTTGTATCTGATGATGTAGAGAGCGTACCTCGATGGTGTTGTATCTGATGTAGTGAGTGTACCTCGATGGTGTTGTATCTGATGTAGTGAGTGTACCTCGATGGTGTTGTATCTGATGATGAAGTGAGCGTACCTTGATGGTGTTGTATCTGATGTAGTGAGTGTACCTCGATGGTGTTGTATCTGATGTAGTGAGTGTACCTCGATGGTGTTGTATCTGATGTAGTGAGTGTACCTCGATGGTGTTGTATCTGATGATGTAGTGAGTGTACCTCGATGGTGTTGTATCTGATGATGTAGTGAGCGTACCTCGATGGTGTTGTATCTGATGATGTAGTGAGTGTACCTCGATGGTGTTGTATCTGATGATGTAGTGAGTGTACCTCGATGGTGTTGTATCTGATGATGTAGTGAGTGTACCTTGATGGTGTTGTATCTGATGATGTAGTGAGTGTACCTCGATGGTGTTGTATCTGATGATGTAGTGAGTGTACCTCGATGGTGTTGTATCTGATGATGTAGTGAGTGTACCTCGATGGTGTTGTATCTGATGTAGTGAGTGTACCTCGATGGTGTTGTATCTGATGTAGTGAGTGTACCTTGATGGTGTTGTATCTGATGTAGTGAGTGTACCTCGATGGTGTTGTATCTGATGATGTAGTGAGTGTACCTTGATGGTGTTGTATCTGATGTAGTGAGTGTACCTCGATGGTGTTGTATCTGATGATGTAGTGAGTGTACCTCGATGGTGTTGTATCTGATGATGTAGTGAGTGTACCTCGATGGTGTTGTATCTGATGATGTAGTGAGTGTACCTCGATGGTGTTGTATCTGATGATGTAGTGAGTGTACCTCGATGGTGTTGTATCTGATGATGTAGTGAGCGTACCTCGATGGTGTTGTATCTGATGCAGTGAGTGTACCTCGATGGTGTTGTATCTGATGATGAAGTGAGCGTACCTCGATGGTGTTGTATCTGATGATGAAGTGAGTGTACCTCGATGGTGTTGTATCTGATGTAGTGAGCGTACCTCGATGGTGTTGTATCTGATGAAGTGAGTGTACCTCGATGGTGTTGTATCTGATGTAGTGAGCGTACCTCGATGGTGTTGTATCTGATGATGTAGTGAGTGTACCTCGATGGTGTTGTATCTGATGATGTAGTGAGTGTACCTCGATGGTGTTGTATCTGATGTAGTGAGTGTACCTCGATGGTGTTATAACTGATGATGTAGTGAGTGTACCTCGATGGTGTTGTATCTGATGTAGAAGTGGCTGGCGGTCCTGCCGAGGTCGGTGGAGGCAAAGTACCCAGTTCTCTCCTCAAAGCGGATCATTCTGGCTTTATCCAGCTTCCTGCCGGCCTCCACCACCAGCTCCTTCCTGTACAGCTCCAACGACGGATCCGTCTGAAAGATTGTCCAAAATAAACTCAAGCGTTCTCAAATCTTCAACATGCACTTGTACTGAATGCAGACAAAACAAAAGAGCACTGTCTGAGGAAATCCTTGCAAAAGATGGTTTTGGAATTGAGGCGATGTCTTCTTGTCTTTTAAATACTTTGTGTTTCTACTCTCACGTCTTTCAGGGGGCAGATTCAGTATGTTGCTAAAAAGCTGAAGGTGTTATTGGGATTTGATTACAACAATAAGTGCTGCTTCTCCTAATCTGACCTTCTGACCTGTCCTTGATTATGGGGATGTACCGTACATGAACACCTCTGCTCAAAGTCTTCATATGCTGGACCACAGACTGTGTATAACAGTATTATTATTGTTATTATTTACAGTCAATGGGCGGGACAGTGTGCCAAAAATAAAGTTCATCAGGATAGCGGAGTTCTTGAAGAGTTTTGTGGATCCTTATGGATATGATGTGTTTGGATTAAATCTTTGAATGGATTGAAATCATGGTGATTTATTTTTGTTGGATTATTATGATCAGGAGAGTTCTGTATATCTTCAAATTGACAGAAAAAAACAATGTCCTGTCATAGAATAAAATGTTATTACAAGATTAGAAGACACATAGTTTCATCATGTAGTTAAACTCAAATGAGAATGTGGATGAATGAGAAAAAACAAAAACAAAACTTTTGACTAGGCAAAATCTGACCAATCAGGCTCCACTATATAAATCCTTAGTCGGGGACCGTCCTATTACAGAGTGTGGATTTCTTCTTCATCATAGTACTTTAAATTCTAAAGTCACACCGCCTCAGACATTGGTACATCTTCATTCACAAACCAAACCTTTCCTCTCTTTTAATTCTGAAGGACAGAATCCTCGATCTCCACAATGTTTTAGATCTGAGTTTAGGCTTTCTGCACATTTCACTTTGAACAACCTGCTGATTTTAAACCGGAAAATGTATTTTATGAATCCTGAGTGAGAAGTCCTGAATCAAAACTTTCAGACTGCAGCTGTTTGATCTGATGATTTAATTATTATGAAATGTGTACTGAATGAGTTTGAGTGTTTTTGTTGTTGACACTGTGCGTTGCTGTTGTGAAACCTCGATAAATAAAGGTTTAACACATTTTATAAAAGTGATGCAATCCTTCTCATAAGTGCTTTATTAGGATTCATTCATTACAAGTAGAGTAGTTGTTTTAATTGGCTGACTGCACTAGTTATAATAATGTGTGTAATCATAAACTCTCACTAAATTATTGTCTTTTTTATCAGCTATAAGAAAATATAAAATGAATAAATTGTGATTTTATTTGACACAAACTGAAGACCATAATCACACACCTGATAGGCTTTGTGGTTGATGCCGTATGCCAGCGGGTTGGCCCTCATGCGGACGTACAGGTAAGTATAACTGAGCCACTTCACCCCCTCCTCCACGTTAGTGACCGTCCCCAGAGCCACCTGAGCACAGGAGAGAGAAACACAGAGTCAAGAGACAGCACTGGTCTCTGGCCCCATCTAGTGGACAACTCAGGAACATGCAGTTTAGATTTATCAACACTGTCAGACTTCTCAACACTTGATTTAGACCTGGATGATAATTTACAACCTGGTCGGCTCCAACAGATATAAACATGGAGACAAAGGAAACACCCAGAGGTGAAGACTCAAGACTTATATTCCATTCTTCTATTTTTGAAAGACTGCAGAAACCGTTAAAAGGGACTTACCTCGGCGTTGAGGTTGTCGGCCAGACTGTCCAGGAACTGGCTCTCGATGGGGTTCTGCTGGGTGAGCAGGGTCAGGTAGTGGCTCAGTTTGTCGTGGGTGGTGATGATGGTTCCCTCGCCGTACTTATCGAACTGAGGACGACCAGCACGCCCGAAAATCTGCATGACGTCCAGGATCCCCAGATCCACCAGAGTGCCACGCTTTGCATCGTAGATTTGAGTTCCCTGTTAGAGACACGAAAGACGGGAATGACTTCAGAGGATTTTATACATTTTATACCTGTGAGTAAAAAGATATTGATTCACCACCAAATAACTTTAAAGTGATTTTAATTCCACACAGACCTAAACACTCTGAGCAGCTGTTTTAAGGAGCCTCTCAAAATATATTAAACCATATATATCTGTAGGCAGTTTTTAAAGATACACGTCGAGCTTCCTGCACACTTTTTTAAATCTAAGAAAAATCAGTAAACTTTTTTTTCATGTTTGATGTGAAACTCGGTGGTTTTCATTCCCTTAGTTTGAAAATGTTTTGCATATCTTGCACGTCGACTCATAACTGTCCTTTCATCCCTCCCAAGATTCTCTGTGTTTTTAATCTCAAGTCCCAATTCCTTAAACTTTCTCGTCTACTTTTCATTTCTGCTCACAGTTTGTGAATGCTGACGTAATTCGCAGTCCCTGAGTTATGCTGTAAATGCTGTTAATAAGTACAAGCTTGTACAAGCATACCCACAAAAAAAGATCAATAAGAAAATCATGTTTATTTAATTCTCACTGCCAGAGGGCCAAATTGTATTATACAAAAACGATTATGTCTCAAATTAAACTCAACATATACCAGTGAGCAAATATTATTATGGACATATTTAAGATTTTCATGATTTCATGGCAGATTTTGTCATGTTTTCTTCATGTTTCCAATGAATTGATATGTAAAAATTGACCTGAGGGCCACCTTGAGGGTTGATGGGGCCACATGTGAGGTCCGCTAGTTGCCCACCCCTGCTTTAGATTATTAATTATTTAGACAGCAGCAGAGGAGGAATTATCCATCATTGACAAAGAAAAGAAGACAGACAGGAAACCAAAGAAAGTGAAACACATCTGAACCTTGATGATGACAGCGTGAGCCGGCAGGTTGACTCCCCAGGCCAGCGTGGCCGTGCAGACCAGCACCTTGAGGTGGCCTTTGGAGAACATGCTCTCCATCAGACTGCGGTCCGACCGCAGCATGCCGGCATGGTGGATCCCAAAGCCTTCTGGGTACATCTCCTTCACCTGCTTGTTCCTGGAGCGCTGGACCTGGAAGAGGCGGTGAGAGAGAGAGAGAGAGAAAGAGAGAGAGAGAGAGAGAGAGAGAGAGAGAGAGAGGTTATAGTAAAATATTAAGTAAAGTGCTTCAGGGCCTGTGAGGGAAAGAAAGCAGCGCTGATTACTGAGTGTTTGAGGTGGGAAATGAGCTCAGATTGAAAATCATGTTGGATGGGGCGCCTAGTGGTTAATGTCACATGTCCCATGTACAGAGGCTGCAGTAATAGTTTCAGCAGCCGTGGGTTTGAATCCAGCCTCGGCTCTTTGCCTCATGTCGTCCCCCACTCTCTCCTCCCAGCATTTCCTGTCTCTCTTTAGCTGTCCCATCCAATAAAGATGAAAATGGCCCAAAAATAACTTAAAAAACGAAAGAAAATCATGTTGGACTGCAGAGAAAAAAAAGAGACCTAAGATATAAACTGACACGAGTCATCAACATAAACTGGAACATCTTAAAATAAAATGCATTTTATGACAAGTAACCCAGATATATGTATGTACAGGAAGTAGAGCAAAGGTGAGAAAAATGACCATATATGGTAAATAAAGTCGTTAATAATTAAATACACAAATGTTGACGAGCAGTATATTGAACGATTAGCAGCCCACTCACGTCCGCATGCACACACACACAGAGTGAGATGTGTGTGTGTGTGTGTGTGTGTGTGTGTGTGTGTGTGTGTGTGTGTGTGTGTGTGTGACTGACAGAACGCAGTGACCTGGCTGAGCTGGAGGGGAGTCCTCATCACAGGACCTTATCTCTCTCTCCGGGCATCTAAATAGAGGTCAGCGCCCAGCAAAGAGAAAGCCCATTACTGCCAGCAGCTGTCACACACACACCACACACACCACACCAAACACCACACACACACACACACCACACACACACACCACACACACACAGACACGCACACACACACACACACACACACACACACACACACACACACACACACACACACACACACACACACACACACACACACACACACACACACACACACACACACACACACACACACACACACACACACACACACACACACACACACACACACACACAAATGTCGATATTTGTATGTAACACTGGACAAAGGTGGAGGAGTGGGACTTGAAGTAAACAGAGTTTTATCGTCTCACACGTACAGCTTCCCTTCTTTCTATTTCAAAACAACACATTGGTTTGTCTAATGTGGAAAAAAGTGCAGGACTGATGGAGCTGCTGGTGTTATTTCAGCTTCCACAGTTTGTTCTTCTGTGCAGCTTTAGAGCTCTTTCTGCTACCATCTGTTTAAATAGTGTTTTTCATTATCACAATGTTCTTTTGCATCATTTTAAATGCTTTGTTTGTTGACTTTTCTTAAAATGACAGTCCATAAAAATGATGCAATAGATAAAAGCCGTCTCTGTGGACTTAAAAAAAAACACACACGGCTGAAATCCTGGTCCTGGTGGGAGTCTTCAGGGCTGTGTGTTGTGCACCGTGCTGCTCACACTCACGTTGGCCAGGCAGGCTAATTGAAATGCTGAGGCTGAGGCTTTGCTTTGAGGTGTCACAGTGTGTTACAGCTGTGCCTCCAGCTTCTAATCCAAGGTGAGTTAGCGCTGATGTCTGCCGTGCCATGGCTGCATTCGAGATGGCAGTGACCTAAGCTCCTGATCAGGTCCCATTAGGCCCGGTCGCCCGCTGCTGCTCCTGCTTCACAGCTCGCTGTGTCTGCAGACAGCCAGCCGCCAGCTCCACTCAGCGTCACTCATTGTCCCGACCATGTAAAGAACATCAGCTAACAGCAGAGCAGAAATAAACTATTCAGGAGGCTGTCAAACCTTTTCTAAGGACCTCTAAATGGAGGAAGGTGTAACTAACCGGCTTTACACTTCTGATGATTTAATCCCTGCACTCGTGGATCCTTGATCCTTTTAGAAATAATGTGCAGGAGAGAAGCAGGAACATTTTTAGAAAACATGTCTGCATGTGTATTTTAGTGCTGCATTTAAAAAAAAAAATGTGTTAAATGCCATAACAAATTTTCAGAAAGGACATGTGAGCGGTGTGCTAAAGAGCAGCAGATGGCTTCTGTCTAACAGCATCACCACAAACAGTGACTCTCTGGAGCGCGCAGCTTTTCATTCACTCCGTTAAATGGAGGCAGGATGGCTAATTGTTGATTTCATTTAGTGGCCCTTGATAGTCATAATGTTTGGTGCTCAGCGCTGCTGGCTGTTAACGCTGGACGGGCGCGGGCAGAGTGGGAGGATGAGTTTCCACTCGCGCCCACTCTACTGCCACTTTCCCATCACGATCTGCCTCCATCTCCTCACGCCTCACTCTGTTTTAGCTCCATCCAGGGAGGTTATTCGGTAAACCTCGCGCAAATTACAGTCAGCAGAGCAACATTACACATAATCACATTTTTACAGCGTAGTGAGCGATATTTCCCCAGCTACACATTCAGTAAATGAGCTCAAGAGGAGTTTATCTACTCTGCAGAAAGTGACACTTTTTTTTGTTCATCTGTGACAAAAAATAATGTAAAATCTCTCCGTGCTGTAATTGTAAAACTTACTGTGTGAAAATACAGGGTTAGTTAACTTCTAATACTGTCAGCATAAAATAAAAAAGTGTGGTAAAAACAAAAAGCTGACGGAGAGACGAGAAAACAATCTGCAATAATTATTTGAGTCACTAAAGCTAAATTAGAAACTATATTCCAACCAGGCTACGTTTGGATCACAGACTGTAAATATTAAAGAAGCCTGAGTGTCGTCACCCGTCTATTCCTGCAGGGGGCGCTGGAGTCCCATCGATGGCGGTCTCCATGCTGGAAATGCTGTCAATGTCTAACTTTGAGTCAACCTAACGACAGGCTGAGAGCTGGAGCTGAGGCGGGTTTTAAACCTCCTGACAAACCGTTACACTGCGCCCACCTGTCAATCAGGTCAGCTACACGCCTTATTGTGAATAACTCTTATCCTTCATCAAATCAAAACTGATGAGTCATCAAAACATTCACCCCCCGTACAGTGTGTGTCCATCCAGACATGAGCTAATCACACCTATTTGGTTTTTTGAACCAGGCTGTAAACATGTTCATCTCTGCTGTAAAAACAGGCTGTTTAGAATGGGTGTGTATGTGACTTCCTGTGCTTCTGCAGCCAGCCTCTAGTGGACACTCCAGGAATTGCAGGATTTTACACTTCGAAATTGCATTTTTAAACACTGGAGGTTCCCGCAGCAGAAACTCTGTGTCAATAATCACACATCAAATTGACAAACTGAGAAAAACATCATCTCTGTGTCCGTCGCTTGCTCGCTGATGAGTTGTTTATAAAATGATTCTTTTGACAAATACTGTCCAAATGGATAAATGGAGTCTTTCAAGTCATATTGATTTACAGTCATTATGATGATTTCAGTAAAGTCACAAACATTCTCTCATAAGCTTTGATAGAAAAACTGCTTCAACTTGTCTGTTCAGCACAGAAAATATCTTCCAAAGACTTCAGCCGAAGTGACTCTGCTGAACATCAAACTGCTGTTAGCGGCACAAAAAACAGATTATACATGTAAGCATATCGACTCCAAATCTCGGGTACTGCTCTGGTGAACTACTAATAATCATATCGGCATTGCCATGAATAATCAATATTGGTCGACCCCTAGACAGAACTGCGAGCGATTTGAAATAAACACAAGACACTCATGCCCTAATGGAAGGCCAATTGTTCAGTGAAGACACCCCTCGCTCCAGTTAACCTACTGATAAGTTACATTACCTACCCTAAGGCCGTTAGTCACCACCGCAACAAAAACAGCATTGCCACCTCCAACAGACTCAGACTCCATACATGAAAGCTCCAGGTAGTGATAACACCGATACCTTCCTCTTGGCGCCCACAACTCAACCATGTAGACCGATGGGCAGCAACATCCCTCCATTCAGCTGGGTTTCACCCAACTAGTCCAAAGACACCTCAAGAAGGCTGGACAGTTGACCCCAGAACCCCCTTCAATTCTAGTTCTGACTGCCCGGTGCCCACCATACCCTCACACAGAGCTTCTTTACCACATGGCCATCACAGCCCAAACAGCTTTGCCACTTTCAACAGACCCAGATCCAGGTAGTGACCACACTGATACCTCCTACCCTACCACATGGCCCCTCTTGGCCCCCACAACTCAACCGTGTAGAGTGCAAACAAACGAATGCATCTTCATGAACGCGTTATCGCTCACAGCCCGTCTTAGTATAATTTTAAAACAAATCAGATTAGCTACCACGACAAGGTTATTAACTGCATCGTTAGGTATCAAATTATCTGACTTCATATAGATTTTATAAATAAGAAAACTTCACAACATTCACTCCACCCCCACCTCCATCCTTCTGTCCCAATCCGGTCACATCTGGCTCTGAAAAACCCTCAAAGAGGACGGCCACAATGCCGAATTCAAGACTTGAAAGTGTTCAAATCATGGTGGATATGATACTTACAGGTCTTTAATAGGTCAGTCATCCCTATCCAGAAACCTTCTACTTCCCTCTATTTTTTTTTTTTTTTTTACAAAGACTGAGGTTCTATTTAAGGCAGCCATTTTTCTTTTCTCTGATACGTGTGTTTGTCACTCCATCGTGTCAGTCCTTCTCTTCCAGCAGCCTTTGAGCCTGCAGCTCATCGTTGTTGATCAGTGTTGTTGGGGAGCCGGTTTCGGCAACACACTGACAGGTTGTCAAAGATCCGACACAATGAAAGGACCGACGGTGGACGGCACTTTGTTTAAAAATAGCACCAATGAAAGCAAACAGAGACATTAATGAGAGCCCGCTCCGGTGCTGCTGTGGAGTCCCACGAGGCAGCGCAGTGTCTGCACAGCTCGTCAAACAAAGTGACATGAAAAGCTGCACATCTGAAGACCACCGAGATGGAGAGTTAAAAGAGAAAGAAGAGGGGAAGATGTATCAGCACACCTGTACTGTCTAGTATCTCCAACATTTAATAAAACACGTCTGTCTTTACTTTTATTCATGTACACTTTACCTGACAAATCTTACAAACAGCAAGTCATAAATAACCAACAAAATGTGACTGGGTGCTACAGATGGATGACATGTCTGTGTAATGGCCTCATGGGACCACAAGGGGTCTCTTAACCTCCACAGAAAAAGTTCCAGTCTCCTCTGGAGGAGTCGCATGGTTTTATCTCTGAGAACTGGGGTATTAAAAAAGAAGAAGAAGGGGGAGGCGGAGTGAGGGGAAGGTGGAGGGGTGGATTGTGTGAGTTGCAGCAAATGAAAGTCAAACAGATTCTGGAATACAATACTCCAGGGAGAGCTTTACGCAGGGTCCCTGCACACAGGGGTGGAGCAAAACGACGCGCTTAACACCCCCTACAGCTATTTCTCTTTACGACTACTTTAAATTGACAAGAGAGATTTTTTCCATTTTAGTAGATTTAGACTCATTTTGAAACTGAATCTCATCCAAAGCTTCTCCAAATCACTCATTGATGCTGAATGTCTAACCTGGTGGACGGAGAGCGAAAGCTTTTGTTTGGATCACACCTGACGACTCAGGTCTGTCGTTGTTTCTGCTCCTCAAGATGTGACGCATGACAGAGAAATGAATCCATCAGACAGAGGGCCGTCGAAAAAGTCTCCCACTGTCAACACGTCTCATGTTCAGATCCAAATCAACAACTAAACGAGTCTGTTTGAAACGAGGGCTGCTCCATTCAGGCACAAATCATAACCACCGTTTTTACTTTTTATTATTGTTAATATTATTGTTTTTTTGATTATTTATTCACTTGTTTCTTTCACTGATGGTTCTTGTGTTTCCTGGGTTCTTGTGATGGTTCTTGTGATGGTTCTTGTGATGGTTCTTGTGATGGTTCTTGTGATGGTTCTTGTGATGGTTCTTATGATGGTTCTTGTGATGGTTCTTGTGATGGTTCTTGTGATGGTTCTTGTGATGGTTCTTGTGATGGTTCTTATAATGGTTCTTATGATGGTTCTTATGATGGTTCTTGTGATGGTCTGGTTATATATGTCTGTTGGGTATCGTGCACTTTGGATTCTTTTCTGTTGAATTGTATTTAATTATTTTGAGTATTTTGCATTTGTTCTGTTCTTGCTGTTGTTTATGTTCTTCTGTGTTTGCTTTAGTTTGTTGTTGTTTGTCAAAGCACTTTGTAAACCTGTGTTTTTAAAAGGTGCTATATAAATAAAGTTATTATTATTATTGTTATTATTTTGATTGATGAGATCATGATTATTAAACACGATTTCTCTTTGATATTACAACATGTAAAAAGCAGTAGCTCAGTCTGTAGAGACTTGGGTTAGGAATCGGAGGATCGTCGGTTCATGTCCCGGCACACACCAAAATATGGAAGGTGGTCTGGTAACTGGAGAGGTGCCAGGCAAAAAATGTGGATTACTGAATTGCTGAAGGGGTTGCACAATTCATTTTGAACAAGTTGCATTGTTAAAACTTCCTTCAGTCCTCCAGTCGTCCGTTCATGTTTGAGTTCAGTTCAGTTCGATCAGACTGAAACACCAACAGTTCAGATTGTGAGGAGCATGCAGCCTTTACAGGGTTTGACTTTGATCACAGTGTTGCTCAGTCTGTGGGCTCCCATTATGTATATTATAAATTCACCATTATCTGCACTTTGTAAAACAGGTTGGGAAAGCTCTGTTGAGTGAGAAAAGAGAGTGTCAGTGCCTCCTTATAGACCCCCCTTCATCCTGGTTCCTCGTCCGTTTACTCCTCGTCTTTTCGTTGTTAAGACACTCCAATAGGAAACAATAGAATCAGGTTGATTTTGTCACTGATGCTTCTTCACGTCGCTTGCTGTTAGGAGCGTACTGATGCAGCTCTAGCTCTTATTTTATAGTGAACTTTTAACTCTTCCATTCAGACTGCAAAAGTAAGCACATAACTGTCGCTTAAACACAAAGGAAAGGGAACATAAAACAGACCGCACAAAAAAATACAGCCCAGTATACAACCTTGTTAAAGGCCCAGACACACCAAGCAGACGGCAAGGAACGAGTGGCAACGAAGGCCGACTGTGGTGTTGCCTCACAACACTTCTTTTCTTGGCCAAAAAGTTGCACTAGAATGCACCGCCAAGACTACAGCCGTTTAACCATTTTGTTTTCTTCTTCTGCATTCTATTATTGTGTTGTATAACATTATTAAAAAAAAAAAAAAGAATAATGATGTAAGAAGTGAACTATGTCTGGATAAATGAACAATGTTTGGATTGCCCAATAAACACAAAGTTGCAAAAAAAAAAAAGAAAAAAAGAGTGATTCCTCTTACCAACCGCGACAACGCCGACTGACGCCAATTCAACATGTCAACTCGGCCAAAAAAAGGCAGAAGGGGGCCGACAGGTAGCGACAGAGCTGGACACACCGCAAAAACTAGAGCAACGATCGCTCACCGTCGTTCCAACTAAGACCAACGGCCAGTGATCTCCTTGGTGTGTCTAGGCCTTGACAACATCCAAATAATTCACAGATCATACACATCTTATCGCTTGATTCTCCGAAACAAAAAGCCTGACAGAACACAGATCATAAACAGACAGAACTGTGGGCGTTTAGTGTAGAAGGCGCTCTCCTGGAGGTTTTCATTGTCATACCAAACCGCCTTTCATAACCAACCACAAACTGTATTTAACAGGGATTGATTCGAGTGGTTGCATTAAGATATCTAAGCTTGATTGACAGCCTCTCCACCCCCCCTGAGATTAAGCCAATTAAATAACATTAGGGGGGGGGGAAAATATAGTGGAATCACTTCTGACTTTTAAAGCTGGATAAATAAACGCTAAATTATATGGGTGACCTTAGAGGTGCTTTATTTCACTGCATATGCATATTGGAGATTAAAAAACACCTATAAATATTAATGCGGGGCAATTTCCAGAGTGCAAATAGGCAGTGCATTATCTCTGTGTGGGCTTAGAGTGGAGTCAGCCTCGATGCCTCTTCCTTCAGCAGAGCGGGCCAGACCGACAAACACTCAAAAGACGGACTAATGGAGTGGATAATACTCATTATGTTGGGACACAGGCAGAGGAGCTGGGAGTGAATCAATGCACAGTTAGTGCATGTGCAAGGAGATTCATTCATTCCTGTACATATTCTGTAGGAGCAGTTTCCTTTAAAGTTCTGTTTTCAGAGACTAACTGGGACTCAATGACACCGTTTGGAGTCTGTTGTCTCTGTTTCCAGTTTTAGAAAGCGTGAAAAAGTGATCTGATTTGTATACATATCCTATTTAAACAGAGGGAAGATTAGAGGCGCATCAATCTTGGCTCAGCCCCAGGGAACAAAGGAAAAGGTTACTAAATTTATCACTCTGCCTTCTGTTGCAGGAGATTTAAATATGGGAGCTGCAGTCTGACTGACCATCCTCTGAGGGGAAATGTAGCTCCGCCTCTGTGTACCCTCGCAGCGCAGGCACCATTAATTATACACGCTCACACACACACACGCTCACACACACACACACACATGCTCACACACACACAGCTCTAGTGCATTCCCACACTCTCATATAGAACTAAAACAATGTTGTTTTGAGTTACAGGGATGTTGAGTTGTGCATCAGGACTTCCTGTTTCTTCTCTCTGAAGCTTCACGACTTCTGTTTCTGCTGATGGACACAGTTCATCCAGAAGTGTGAACGTGCAGGAGGGTCAACATGTCAACAAAGCATGCAACATGAGTCATGTGAAACATGCTCTGTGTTGTTTGTGGTTCTCTTTCATAGCATTCGTTTCTATGTCTCTCTATGGGAGCTAACTAGCCTAACAGCTCGTAGACTGGAGCTAACACCTCTGTCGCTGAGCGCTAATAGCACGGGCACAGTCCATCTTACCCTCACTGTGAACAAACTCCTTCACTCCATAGCTAACCCAATAACCAATAAAATAAACTCATTTCTATGATTATCTAAATGAGAAGCTGAAACTTTCCAGCATCTAAAGATGGAATCAAACAGAAAATGAAACCTCTACCTGTTTCTCACACTGGCCGTAGTCAGAACTCTGCTCGGGCTGGAAGTAGCACGTCTCTCCGTGGTTCTTTGCCATCTCGATCAGTGCCATGGCCGTTCTCACCGTGGCATTACGAGCGTGGACGAACACCATCACCTGTGAAATACAAAGATATGAGCACAAAACCATGTTTAACACAGAAGGTTGGATGATGACAATAAAAGGGTGATAAAGACATTAAATCATGATGGGGAATTGTAGGTGAAAATGTGTTTAACTTGGTTTTTCTCCACGGTTAATAAGATTTTTTTAAATTGAGTTTGGGTGACCATTTTTGAAGCAGGATATCAGGAGAGTCTCAGAGCTGATTTATTTGACTAAATGTTCTGAGGAAAAAAATACAGTGTGAGTAACTATGCGTCTAACCCTGAATGGTAAATGGACTTGAGCTTGTATATTTCTTTTCTCATCTTCTGACTACTCAAATCATTTTACACTGCAGGTCACACCTACACATTCACACACTGATGGTCGAGGCTGCTGAGGAAAGAGTCCATCAGAAGTAAATAATCCCATTCATACACATTCATACGAATGAAGCAGCAGGAGCAACTTGAGGTCAAGTCCGTGCCCAAGGACACATCGGACATGTGGCCGACTCTGACCTTTATCTGAACACATCTTCAGACAAATTAAGTTTATCTAACCGGGCATTTATAAACTGTGTGTTTTGATTGTTTGGTTCAGTGAAGTAAAAACGACTACATCAGAATATAGAGATGACATATTAGTTAAGAAACCACAAACTGGAGGTAAAATGATCAAATTTACTCTCCTGTATTTACCTGTAACCATAGCAACACATATTGTTTCATTTGAGAAATAGATTATTGCATGACTGCACAAAACTGCAGGAACCAGCTGTGTGTGTGTGTGTGTGTGTGTGTGTGTGTGTGTGTGTCAGAGGAGACCGCGGCAGCAGAAGTTATTTGTTGAAGGTGTTTTATCAGCGTTTGTCGGCAGAAACCGCACGGCCCTGCAGCTTATTAAACTTCTTTCTGGCAGCGGGCTTTCCCACCACGAGGGCGCGGGGAAAATCATAAAGGAAATTTCATCCATCAGATCCTCCCAGATGAAATGAATATATGTCACAGCCACTTTCTGACAATTTAATACGAGCGAGATTTGAGGCGTCCTGAGCGGAGCTGCGGCCTCAGCGGCCTCCACCGTCAGCCGGACTGGACCATTGTATCGCTCGAAAACCACCGAGATAAAAAAAAATAATTCAGTCAGTCGTTTAAAAGAAGTTTAAACGTCCTCAAGGACCACAGCAAGACTCGTATAAAGAGCGTCTCTGAGGGAGATAATGAGCAGCAGAGGAGACGAGGAAAGAGAAGAATAAGAAAGTGTGTGTTTGTGTGTGAAGGTTTTTGTGTGTGTGTCTGTCTGTATATGTGTGTGTATGAAGGTTTTTGTTTGTGTTTGTGTGTCTGTGTGTGTGTGTGTGTGAAGGTTTGTGTGTGTGTGTGTGCGAAGCTTTTTGTTTGTTTGTGTGTGTGTTTGTGTGCACGTGTGTGTGTGAAGGTTTGTGTGTGTGTCTGTGTGTGTGTGTGTGAAGGTTTTTGTGTGTGTTTGTGTGTGTGTGTGTGTGTGCATGTGTGTGTGTGAAGGTTTGTGTGTGTGTGCATGTGTGTGCATGTGTGTGTGTGTGTGTCTGCGTTTAAATGAAACGATGCAGACAGGATAACCACTGTGCTCAATAGGAATTCAACTCCTGCAGCAGATGGCAGATAAACGGTTAAATCTGAATTCACGACTCTGGCGTTCCCAGCGGGCTCTCTGAGGCTGCAGAGAGGGAGTGGATGGGGGGAGGAAAAGGAAGGGGGGGGGGGGGGTAACACTGGGGGAGATAAAGACTTCTGAGACTTTAGAGAACAGGTGTTTGTTCGGTACGCAAAGAATATTGACTGCAGGAGTTTCTATTCAAAGGAAAGAAACGTGGAGTTGTATTTAAATACATCTTTTTGAAGATCCAGTAACGTTACTGTGTTCTTTTATTTAAAGGCACAGTTTGTCGATTCCACCACCAGGGGGCTCTCAATCTGATCTTAATAACAAAAGATGGCCGTAGTCATGACGACCGGGTTAAACCGATCTGAGGAAGAGAATATGGCTGTGTCCGAAATCACTCACTCATTCCCTATTCACTATATAGTGAGTTTAATGCAGTGGACTACATCGTGCACTCACTCAGCAAAATTAAAAAACATTTCGGACACTGCTCGCTCACTCACCGGCCGCTGACAGTGACGCCATTGTTGTCGCGCAACTGAAACGTGCAGCTTAGCAATGGCCGAGGATCAATAACAATGGTAAATAACAGCATGAATTTCCATGATAACTCACATTATACTGAGTGTATTTTCACGAAACATTTACAAATAAATAAGGAGACATATTTTCCAAAAACCAAAACTAAATTATTTATGCTCACAGACTCTGGTTTCTCGTCTAGGACTCGTTTAGGACTAACATCACTAAAGTTGACAATCTTTTAATTGTTTTTAACACCGATCATAGATTTCAGTAAAACGCTCTGAATATGAACTTTATTGAGTTTCTGTGTTCATGCTGGTCGCTCCTCTCGCCCGTTTGAGAGCAGCCGAGTCAAACGCCACTCTCCGCTCGTAAAAACCTTTTGAACCGCAATGCATGATGGTATATATTGCTTGCATAGTGACCATCGCTCATACACTACTTTTCAAAATGCATTGTGGGATACATTGAGTGGACTATACAGGGTATGACCATGCTCACTCAGAATTCGACAGCACTACAACATGGCGTGATTTCGGACACAGCCTATGTTTACAGACGAGCTAATGTATCAGAGTCTATCCGCTTTAATAACTTCTTTTTCTGGCTTTAATAACTGTTGGAAAAACGTATTTGAGGTAATGTAAGAAATCAACAACAAACAAATCCATAACAGGTTTGAGTCCATTTTTAATTAATCTATAAATTTGAATGTAAACATTGTGATAAAATTCGATATCCTGTACCTTTAAGTTGTATGTTTCTTGCCGTGACTCACCTGATGGCCGGCCTTGACCTGCTCCAGAACTTTGTTGTAACAAACCTCCTCCGTGTCATGAAGCTGCTGGATCTAAAAACAGAGTCAGAGTAACATAAGAAACTCATAGTTACCTGCTTTGCTTTATCTTTATAAGATACACAAACTGGCTACTTTCATAGGTAAACATGTACAACTCAACATGATCTAATTCTTACAAAGAGTTTAATCTGACAGGAAATCATTATATTTAATGTTTGATATCAGGTTAGTTGAGGGTATCTGTGCACTGAGAGGTTTTCTGTTGAAGGTGTTTCTGATATAAACCCCATCTATCTTACTAAAATGTAGTGACTACAAACTTTGAAATACCGATGAAGTTAAACCTTAAACCTCTCTGACTATACCTTCAGAAGGCCTAATCGACCCGGGCATGTTACAGTAACCGATCTTTATACTGTTTTTTTACCTTGTTGTTGCTTTTGATTCCAACAAACGTCTGTCCGAGCGGCACCGGCCTGAAGCGACTGTCGAAGAAGAAGAGGCCGATGTACGGGTTGACATGGAGGAAGGAGGCCACGTCCAGATAGTTGGGTAAGGTGGCTGACAGTCCCAGGATCCGGATCATACTCTGAGTGGACTCCACCTGAACATGAGACAACGAGAACGTGTCACAGTTACTCAGAAATCAAGTGAACTGCGATAGAAAGGCAGAGCAGCTTACATCTGTGTTTCTGGGATTTATTTTTTTAGTAGTATTTCAAATGTTTATAACCCATGAGATCTAGACATCCTGCAGGTTAAACCAGCTACACAACGTTAGGCCTATAACTGTTGCTTTTTTTATTTTAAATCATTTATAACAGGAACATACACACATCTCTGTTTGTAGCAGAGCTGCAGAGGAGTTCATTAATTGATGTTAGCCCACTGTCTTTAGCCGTGGTTAGCCTGAATGCAATAAAAGGCCACTTCTCTTTTTGCAGATCGATGAAGAGAGTGAAATCAGCAGCGTGAGTCCTTGGTAGGCAACTGCTGCACCAACAACCACCCAGCGTCTTATTCAGAGCGTTCAGAGAGTTGGTTCAATGTTTATTCAGTCGCTCTGTTCAGCAGCGATCCTGCTGAAACATCTCAGCCCGTACCGTTTAGCAACCTGCTACACCAGCTAACCAATCAAGTACTCTGTGAGGGTAGCCCTGGTAACTAAGGGCGCACTCACACTAGGCAATCTGTACCATGCCAAACAAGTTTGACCCTCACAGTCCAGGAGACAATCGTGCTTAAGCCCGGTAAGGGACAACTGGGCCGAGTGTGAGTGCGCTCAAAGAAAACACAAGCTATCAGATGATGATCACAGAGAAAGTGAATTTGTGTGAACAGATGGCCCTGAGAGTGTTAGTTAAATAACCGAAAACAGATTCATTATATAAAAAGGCAAAGAGCGCCTGACAGACTGTTGGAAAAAGTACTCATGATTGTTTTTGTTTTAAAGACAAAGAAAAGTTAAATAATTGATCTTATCAAATCACATCATTTGAGCATTTCTTTAGAAGTGAAATAACAAAAAGATTTAGATTCAAAAATCGTGATGAAGTTGAATAAGGATCAAAAGTGTTTCATCCGAGCCCCGAGGTCTGTGCCTCTTGTTCTGAGAACAAGTAGATGTTCTTGCTCGTGTACTTCTCTGTCTTTATTTTGTCTTTGAAACCTGAAGAAAATCCAATATGTTGTGTATCAACGTGGGTAAGAAGAGTAAAAATAATGGAGGGGCTGGGGGGGGGGGGGGGGGGGCTGCCCTATCTGTGAGCCTCCTGCTGGATGTGACAGGGAAGATTGGTAAGGCCTTTAATGTGATGCAGTACCTGTCAAACCAGCCCATCAAGATAAGACCCAGCCAATCCCTAGAAGCAGCTACGCAGTGCACTACACATCCACACGGCTTCCTCACACTGCAGAGGTGTGTGCTCCGTTTTTCACCTTAAACAGAGTCAAAGTGTCTGCAGGCGTTCTTTGTTCTCTACTCAGCTGTGCAAGGCGTGCAGCGTCCGTGTTTCAGGCGGCTTTTGTTGCATCATAAACTTTAATGACAACATCATCAGGTGATTGTGATTAACAGCTCGATGTACCCTCGCCTCGAGCAGAGCGAGTAATGAGCCTGTTAAAATCAAATGTAAAAGGTCACAAAATTAGGTAGCGTGGTGATCTGAGAACCATGTAGCTCACAAAGCGACAGAGCAGTGACCACGTTAAAACGTTATGTCTTAAAGGAAGGGTTGGTCATTCTAGAAAACTAGCATGATTTTGAAAGTAGCATTCCTTCAGTGCTCCGTCTGCACCTCCTCCCCTCTGTGCTCCCTCTAAAGCCACGCCCCCTCACTTACATGCATGAGCGCCGTTTCTCCAGAAGCGGACCTCAGTTCATGCCAGGGGTAGAGAGCGAGCAGGGAGACAGGGAGGCGTCTGATTGGTTCATCAGATTGGTACCTCGTAGCAGACATTGGTTGAAGTTTTTACAGACTTACAAACTGATACAGGTGACGGATTCTCTTTGTTCCTTTTTCAGAGAACATGAGTTATTAATCTCTGTCAGGACCTAAAGACAATTTCAAACAAAATCTTAAAAAGTGGATCTGGAGGAAATGACCAACTCTGACTTTAGTGTATTTTAATATAATGTGTTTTTGATAAAGTTATCATACTGGCATTAGTTATATAAACCCAACACAGCAGTTTATGACTCAAAAAGTACCTGACTTTAAACAGGTATTTATCGGAGGTACAGATTAGAAAGCTGCAGCAGCACCAGGTCACAAACGTCACAGCTGCAGGAAACATTTCCCTTTAATGGAAGCCCCGAGCGAGCTGCATCACTGTGAGATAATTATGTGTATGTGGAACCAACAGACGCTGCTTTTGCAGTTGCAGGCGTATACTCAACACTAAAAGGAAAGCACACGACATAACAAGCGACACCCCTGATCCACTGCAATCTCAATTTAAAGCGCTTCAATCAGGTCGGCCATTCAGACAACTTTCTTTAATAAAAATAATTTGTCCCAAGTGCAATTCAGTTAAGTCATAAATAAAAAACACACAAGAACAAAGCTCCCATCAGTTAGAAAGTTCATACCCACAGCCATGATCATGTAAAGTCATGCATGTGTTGTATAACGACTTTATGTATAAGAGGAAACCGTGCTCAGGCCCGGTTAGTCCTGGAGCAGTGCGAGTGCAGGCCAGCGGGGGAATGGGGAGGGGGTACAATCATGCTTCAGCACGGTACGGGACAGCCTGGTGTGAGTGCGCCCTAAGAAAAGAAAACGCGGCCGCCGACCCATTAGCCTAGACTCACGCTGCCCACCTCCTTGGAGATACTTGTTGTCTTAAACTAAAGGGGGGTCTTTTCAATCAAACCAGCACTTCACAAGATTTATTTACTTTACAACATATCTCTTTAAATGCAGGATTATGACCTAAAGAGGGGGAAAAGCTGTTAAAAAAGGGCACCACCAGCCTGGTCTATATAGCTTATTAGTACCAGCACGCTAAGCGCAGAAGCAGCCGCTTGCATTACACGATGATTGGGGACGAATCTTCAGTCCTGTAAGGTCGCAGTCAAAGGGTGATGGCGGTTGCTGCTGTTTATGACAAGATGAGGTGTGTCCAGAACACAGCTTTAGATAGATAATAACGCCGTGGAATACCTCTCTAATCATTTTGGTGAATTGGTCACACTGGTCAACAGGACGCAGCCCTGAGACAAAAAAAAAAAAAAGGTTTTAAGAAAAATCAGCCGTTTTCCTTTTCTTCTTTTTCATTCATCCATTTTCCTCCGCTTATCCGAGGTCGGGTCGCGGTGGCAGCAGGCGAATTAAGTCACCAAGACTTCCTTCTCCCCAGCAACGATTTGCAGCTCCTGCTGGAGGGATTCCCAGGCGTTCTTCTTCTTGCACAAACAACAAACAAAACGACAGAGTTTCCTAAAGCTGTATTGAGCACAGCAACCCTTTTATAAAAACTGGACTGAATTGTGTTTTGACAGCCCGATATATTTACATTTGACCTATACTATAAAACTTTGTTATGATCATTCTTGTAGGCTTTCATAATCACATTGAGGCCCTTACTTCTAACAGGCATGCCTTATGTGAGCTTAAAGAGTAAACGGTGAGGTGGACGCTGTACAACAGAGCCACATTAAAGGCCTTTGTAATAAAGGTTACAGAGGGACTTTATCTTCAGCGCAGAGCATAATTGGTAGCAGAAAATGTAGTGTGAACCAAAGCTCTCCCAAGCAAAACATCAAAGTGATAACTGGTTCAGTAGGAAAAAACATTTGCATAAAAAGAGGGACAAATATCATTCAGTTTACGGGGATTTCCATATTAATGTGTCTGAAGACCTGAACTTAAGCACCGAGCGCTTCAGAAGCAGCCGCCTTAGTTCCTTCAGCACAATCAATTATAGCAAGCCGTCAGGTGTGGCAATAATTGGACAGAGGGATGAACAGGGGAGGGGGGAGGGGGCTGCCTGGCGAGCTGCTGGCACACAGGGTGTTTTTCTGTCAGAGGGGGGCGGGGGGCTACGAGCTGTTTACACATTCTCACACAAAACACAACACATGCTTCTCTGCCGGCCACACACGGGTATAATTAACAGCAAACAGAGTAAACCTGCTCGTTTCTTTTCATGTACAGAAACATAATCCTCTGTAACAGAGACAGCATTAAAGGCTTCAATGTTTCTCTATTAAATCTACATCTGTGTACAAGCAAGTCATCTACAGCTCCCTCAACCCAAACCATCTCCCAGTGTCCAGGCTTTGATTTTCAAAATGCTCCTATGTTCACCTAATTAACAAGGAATTTTCATAGACATGAATAAGGTGCTCTGACAGAGTCTAACAGGAAATATTTGGCTTTCCTCACTCAACTGAGCTTGTTAGCTTGTTTTACAAAGAGGAGCAAGTGGTGCATTAATAATATCTGTGTTGAAATTTGGTGCTTTGTCTTGTGTCAACACTGGAGAAAAACTTGATTTGGCTCACTGCTAGTCGTTTATTGTCAACAGCTCGTCAATACAAAACACCACACTTCCTTTTGTCCACCTTCAAAATAAAAGCACCACGTCACACTGTTTGCGAGGGGAAACAGACAATTCACAAATCAAAGAAGAATATAGGTTGAGAAGGCTTTTTCAAAATGGTGACCACAATCGCCAGGCTTCATAACGCCTCTTCAGAGAGCAATAGGTGACATCGCTGAGACGACGTCCATGTTTTATACAGTATGGCACATCTAAAGTTACTCCCTCTACTAACTGTTTTCCCCATTTTCATCCAGTTCTTTTGCTGCTTCCTTTGACTTCTCTACATCTACAGTCTTCTGTGTTCTTTTGTATCCTCATTTCTTCCCTTCATGACATTTCAAGCTGCCTCCTATCCATCTTCTTTTTCCTTTTTAACCTCCATTTAACTGCCTCCCTCTCCATCTCTCCCTTGAAACACTTATTCCACTCCTCACTCAGTTCCATAACGTTTCTGAATCTCAGAGAGGCAGCGGCCTTCGACTTTAACCACCTAAATGTAGTCAGCTCATCCTTTAGTCAAAGTGGATATTTGTGCCAGTCTTAAAGAGATTCCCT